GAGAGAGAGAGAGAGAGAGAGAGAGAGAGAGAGAGAGAGAGAGAGAGAGAGAGAGAAAGAAAGACTTAACGCGTCTTAGCGTTCTACACTGCTGCTCTGGCGTGATGGCGTGGTAAGACCTAGAATTTTGCGACTCCCGTTTGACTTGCCGATCCTCTCTGCTTCCCACACAGTGTCCGGGAGTTTCGTCCCTAAAGTTTCCGGGAAAATCAGAGACAGGACGCCCGCGATCATGCCCATGGACCCGAACAGGATGAGCGGCAGCGAAGGCATTATTTGCGCCTGAACGTAAACGAGGATACGTGTAATTAGCGAAACGTTTGAGATGATGTATTTAGTTTATAGAACGCTTTCGCCGAGAAATTTCTCAACAGTGATTGACTGCAAATATGCAGAATATTTTCCGTTCAAAATAAAATATTATAAAATATCATTAATGTCATTTTTATAAAAACTATATGCACGTTTATCAAGTTAAAAATGGGAGTAAATGATATTTTCGAAGAAAATGTTTTCTGTAAGAGCAAAATCTCTTTGAAATGTTGGATTCAATGTAAAATTACAGAGGAATGTCGAATGCAGATCTGGAAAATGTTCGCGCAGCGTTATCGAGGCGTAATTCGGGAAACGCGCGTAATTCGAGAGCGCATCTGTTTATTGCAAACGCGTGTCCGTTGACTCACCAGAAGAGGCGTTTGCGGCGATAAGATTGACCCGACGCGGCCGGTCATGCTGCAAATTCCGAGCAGGGAATGCCGGAGCGTTGTCGGGAACAGCTCCGCCGTGTAGACGTAGACGGTGCCGAACGCCATGGTGATACACAGCTTTCCGGCCATGTATAAAAGTAAAGGCCCGTAACTCCAGGCTCCTGCGGAACAGAGCGGCGATAAATCACCGGGATCGCGCGCGCCCTGGCATAGCGGCCCATTATAACCGACATAATTACGCGAACAACACGGTCGCGACTAAGCCGAACGACGCCGCCGGCGCACGTAGCGTCGTCTCAACGGCGCTTTTTGCCCCCCTCGGATCCGGATTACACACGTAATATGCAACGCGGCGCGTCACACATTCGCAGCTTATATTATATTTTCGCGCGATTATAACTCATATCCGTCCCCGCGCGCGCGCGCTCGCGTTCGCGATTAAACTTCGCGATTCCAACGAGGACACGTGTAAATATGAGTAAAACGTATATCGCGAAAAAGAAGATAAAAAGAGATTCTAATAGCTCCAAATGCACGCCCTTTCGTTTCTCACATAAGATATAATCTTAGAAGTAATTGGAAAAGAGCGGAGCAAAAATGTGATAAAAGTATCAACCAAGTTCTTTGAAACGTGACACTAAACATTTATATTCATTCACGACGATGCCAGGATGTGTAGCATTAATGAACATGAGCGAAACAGCATTGTTTCAAAAAGGTCTTTTTTTCCTTACCTTGTCGGCATGTTACGCGTCTACCCTCTTTTGCTCGAAAATGAATGGGATAAGCATTTAAATAGCTCGATGATGAAAGAAAATACGCGGTAGAGCGAGGCGCATGTCGACGGCATTAATGTTTCAAAAAATATCCCGAAATTCTCTCTCCTCGTAAAAATTTCTCTAGCGTAAACTCGATTCAACGGCTTTTCATAAGCGACCCACGAAACGAGGATCCATCCTTGTCTGAGAAACCTTCTCTTTTTTTTTTCTTATCCCTTTACCTGTCGGTACGAACTGGATTGCGAGGCAGAACGCCCCGCTCAGCAGGAACGCGCCTGAGAGCGTTGGTTTACGGCCAATGCGATCGGTCAGCACCCAGGCGAGGCAATACGCCGGTATCTCGACCACCGCGACGAGCACGAAATTGATGTACTTATCCCCGGCGAACGCCACGGAATTCAACGACAATCCGTAATAAACGAACGTGTTCGTGAGCCAGCAGAACGAGCAGACCAACAGTCGAATGAGTATCACTGAGCTATGTAGAACTTGCACGATCGGTTTCCTCTCGTCCGATATCACTAGCTCGCTTTTCTGAAAGATCGTATCAGTCTCATGGTCGTGTGCGGCATCGTATATGCAAATCAGTGTTTTATACCGGCATTTACAGAGTAATGCAAAAGTTGTTTGACTGCACTGGAAATTACGAGCGATATAGTTCCCAGCAAACACCAAGTAACTTGAGTAACTCAACAATGTTGAGTAGGAAATTGTAACTTGCGTGTATAAGTCTGTTACTTAGTGTTTACTGGGTTGTATTTTAGACAACAGTAAGCAAATTTGCAGATGAGATATTTTCAATATCGTAATTGGGCGCATGTGCGTCTGCGATAAGAGAAAGAGATAGATGACGTACCGTTTCGTCCTTAGGTACACTTAACTCCTTGAACGAATTGATGGCCTCGTCCGTTACTTGCAGGCCGTTCATTCGAGCTATTTTACGATATATTTTCTCTACTTCGTCGTGTTTACCCTTTGACAGTAGCCACCTTGAAAATGGCATCATATGTTGTGCAAACAGTTATTCCGCAGATAAAAGAATGAAAAGAATTCTACTGTATATAAATATTAATTAATAAATTCCGTTCAATCGTTTACTGTAAAAAAATTGCATTGAAATGGTAAACGATTCCAGCTAATCTTTCAGATCTTTTAATGCATTTAAGCTAATGGCTTTAGTTATTTTTAATTACTTTCAACTGAATTCGCAATAAATATTGATTGCTCACGTAATCCAATAAATTGCAGATAACATTCGTCGATTTCAAATCTTGCTGATCGATCAAAAGTCATGTCCCAGCGATACGTGAGTGTTCATTAAGTTTAAAAAGGATTACCTAACTGATTCTGGAATGAACAGAGGCAGGAGAATGGCTAGCAATCCCGGCCCGTATATCACTCTAAGAAGCGTTCGCCAAGATCTTAGCCAACTCGCGATCAATCCCAGGAAGATCTCACCCATGGCGAACATGCAGCAGATGATGGTGCTCCCGAAGACTCTGTTTTTCACTCCCACCGTCTCCATTCCTGAGAGCAAAAAAATATGTAAATTATTACCGAACGTGTATAATCACGCGTAAATTACATTAGAAAGAAACGTGAAGCTAATAAACATATCTTATATAATACATGATTTCTATATAATATGCAATTTATCGGTAATCACTAATACAAAAGTGAATGTAGAGAAACATATACGTATTCGACCCAAGTGCGTCGGTGATTTGAAAATGTCGCAACATACAAGATTGTTATATACTTAAAAATAATTTCGGAACTCTTGACATCGTCTACAAAAAACTTATCGATCAATAAATTTTGATAAAAGACGCCAATGCGATAGGTATTACCGATAAATCAACTATCGATTTAAAAAAAGTGCATTTTATTAACTTTCCGAACTGTTTCGAGTCGTATTACGCGAAATACAATATGTTTTTCCTGTCCATTCATTTTCCGCGAGTATAACCTCGAGGAATTTTCGAGTGAAAGCTTATTATCTATCGCAAGGCTCGTTAGTTTTACATTTCCCGGGAATGTTTTGTCAGAATATATTTTCATAGAAATCTAAATGCGTGTCGCATAAAGCTGCAATTATAATTTTAATAAACGACTAAATAAACACGTGGTAAATCCAGAATAAATTACTCGAAAATATCTGCGTTACGCGTGTCGCGTATTTGCATTCCAAACGCGGAGTAAAGAGCATTGCATCGAGAATTCGCTCCGACGCCGCGCGCCGCTCCGCCCGCAAACACTCGTAATAGGGCAGGAACGACATAACGCTTACAGGTGTCGCATATTTTTTGCTTTTCCCCCCCGCGTGCATATTTATTGTTCCGTTATTAACGCACCTAGAATAAATCCCGCGCTGTAAATTCCCGCCGCCATGGTGGCATCGAGGAATTCGAATGCGAGAAACATCCAATAATTCACGGAGAAGGAATGTATCAAGCCGCTGACTCCAGACAGAAACGTCGACAGCGTCAAAAAGGTTCGTCTCCCGTACCTGGAAAATAAAAAAGAATGAACGCGCGGATGTGCCGTCTCCCGTTGTTCGCGGCAAAGCGCATTTCTGCCGTGCCGCAATGCGAAATTCCTCGCGATACCGCGCGATACGCCGCGCTTTCTTATTGAGGGTCTGTGAAATCGAGCTGCAGAAACATTGTTACAGACCATTCGTACAATTTTTGCATTACGTAAAGAACTATGCGTATCTTTTCAACTAAGAATTTTAATCTCGTAACCGACGTAACCGGATTGCGATTTATCGCCGGGTACGTAAAGGACGTACAACAGAAACAGTTACGCTGTATCCATGCAGCTGTATCCATACGAGCGTGTCTAACGCGCTCGCAAGGAAAAAGATGTAAAAATAACTATAATGAATTTTTAGACTTTCTAGCCGAGTTGTTATTACGAGGAAAAATAGCTTGTAGGGAAATAATAGCTTTGGAAAAAATAGCTTAGAATTTATCGTGAATTTATCGCTAATTTTCTATAAATATAATCTTAAATTTTATTACGTAATCTAGTTAATTCTTAAATTAGCTGATGTATCGTACGACATAATTTAGATTTATATTTTTCTCCTTGGCAGCACGAAGATATAAATAAAAATGAAAACGCGCGCCGGCATCCGTGCCATCCGCGACGAATGTTGTGAAACATTTTGTACGAAGTTAATTAATTAAAGCCCCAGGGATATTGCGCTGATCTCTCACCTGTCAGATATGTATCCGGCGAACATCAAGCCGACGAATTGACCGGTATTCTGTATCGTGCCCACCAACGTGAGTTTCCATCGATTGGCGTCGCAGGTGAATCCCCACTGCATCGAGATAAGCGGCGGAAAAGGAAAGAGAAAATAAATCTCGGCCGCTAAATCTCGGCGGATAGAAAATACGCGCGCTGATCACCGCGAGAGCCACATTACCTCGTTGAGTATCGTACGCTCGTCCGGATCGTAAATCCAAGAATCGCAGTCGCGAGTGACGTTGGTGAATGACGCTTCCGTACATGTACCCGAACGATCATCTCGCACCGTGTAACGCGTGCAACCGGAAATGGCCCCGTTTTCGGTTTTCGGGGCGGAAGCGTTGATCCACAGCGGGTCGAACGTCGCGTTCCCCGCGTGCTCGCATTCCGGCACTAAACATCTGCGTTATAAACGCAGTTGCTTTTTTCCTTCCTTAATTCTCTAACTCTAACCACGGCTGGCTTCAAGTTTCGATACCGTGTCTCGCAAATACGTTTGAATTACGTATCTTGACTGCGTGTGCATAGGTGAAAGTTCAAACAGCGAAGGATACATATATGCGTACCTGTATTTAACCTCGCCCGCGGTAAATATATAAGCAAGCGTAAATCCTGCCGACAGCATCAACGGTATGCTAATAAATGCGAACATCGCCATCTGGTACAATCCAAATTTTTCCACATCGCTCCCCGTTGATGGACCTTTCGCAGCTCCTGCGAAAAATGTACAGAGATTCGGCTGTATGATCCACGCTCCTCGATTAACCCTACGTAGTCACACCGGGTCAATTTGACCCGAGCCTCAACTTTGCTCGTAAATATCTTGCGCGTAACTTGAAAATTGGCGAGCATGACGCCCTCTAGCTGTAGTTAAAAAAAATTTTTTTTTAAGCAAATTCTTCGCGAATTTTTTTTATATGTTAAAAATTTCTGAGGCCCTTTTTTTTTATAACAATCAATTTAGCAATATCGCAAGTGCATTCGAGAATTTTTTCAACACGATCGGTGGATAAATGGTCAAATGGCGAACGGTCAAAGTTCGTCTTCGGTCAAAATGACCCAGTGTGACTTCCTTGTTTGAAAAAATAGGTGTGACTACGGAGGGTTAAGAAATCATAACAAGAAAAATTATATTTCGTCATTATGTTAAATCGCATTATTTCAAAATATTAAACCAACCAAAAAGTATATCTATCTATACAAGCTGAAAACGAATAAGTGAAGATTCAGTTGTATAATCTGCGTGTTTCAATTAAGGGATCATAACAGGAAAATCCACATTATATGTCATTATGTTAAATCACATTATTTTGAAATAATTAAATTAATCAAAAATATCTATTTATCATATTAAGACTTATGAAAACACGCCACGAAAAAATTCCGCCAATTTGTGTCGTTCCTTATGATATGTAAAATGAGTAATTACACGACATACTTAAACATCTAGGAAATGGCAAGTTATGCAATATTGAATAATCGGATATCTAGAGTCTACGTACAATTACAACGTATATAATCTCCGACATCTCTCTTTAACAAGCTGGCGTCCATTGTACGTGTATATACATGTATACTTAGTAATTTAATACTACTGCTAAGCAGTGATACTTAAACAACGCTAACTGGAAGAATAATCCGGCTGGAAATGTAAGCCCACCTTAATCGTCTCTTCAAACGGCTGACTGTGTGCATAAGACTTCGTACAATTTGCCTGTGTTATGCAAGATAGAACCGGGCAACATTTATCACTAATTTGTACAAATGCCTTCGAAATTTAAACAACGAAAAATAAGATATATTTTTCGCATTAAGTCAAAAGTCGTGAGAAAATGTTAGTTAATTCTGTACAGATTAATACTTTATTTCGATCGTTAACTGTATAAATAAAACTTATGATGTAAAATATCTTTTCAACATTCTAATTAACATGGCTGCTTAATATACAAGTTATTAAATGCTATACCGAGCACAAAAAATGAGCTTTCTTTCATTTCGTCTTAATTTTTTTTTATAAGCCGGAAGATATGTATTTTTTTTTAGACATTTATAATAATTTTACACTTCTCGCACGTGTCTTATTGCAGCGCATTTTTATTGCATGAAATTTTTCTCAGTTCAAAATTATCCTTCCGATAGCAGAGATCGTCTTTGCATTTCCATTCTATGATTACGTCAACGTGCGAGTATCATTCGTACCATTTTCCAGGCCCGGCTGCAACGAGTCAGCCTCGTCCTTTCTCGAACAGCACAGCCGCATACTGTCGTCCTTTACGTCCCGTAAGCTGCAATCATATTCAGAATTTATACCATTTGCCGGGAATCGCCGCCGCGGCGTCGGCCGATCGAAAGTTCAACTTGGCGCTTTATGTTTCAAGTTTCCTGGGAACATCGCGAATGAAAAATGATGCCAGTCGCGCGCGTCGGACTTGGGCGGGCATTACATAAAGAAACGGGATCAGTTCGCCGCGCGAAGGCGGCTACAGAAAGCTTTTCCCCATAAAAAGCTCCGGAAGAGAAAAAGAGAGAGAGAGAGAGAGAGGGAGAAGGAAAGGGAAAGGGAGAGGGAGAGGAAGAGAGAGAGGAACTGCCCTCGGAAACGACTTCTCCGCCGAGCAGCCGGAGCTCTATCCCGGCGGTATATAAACAACGCATGCATATAACGACGATGTTGCAGGTGCTGGGGAGTTAGCGGCCCAGCGGCAAATAACGCAAAAAGTACAGCGCATTAGAATCAGGATTATCAGAGCGTAATAATTATTGAGGAACCGAAAAAGGAAGCGTAAAGCTGTGCGCGATGAGAAGCACTATGTGTTTCACCGCGCGCGGCGATACGACACGGAATGATAAAACACGGATCGGACAATCGCTTTGTGCGGAAGTCTCGTCGGTCCGTTCTCGGCTTTTCAATTTGCGAGAGCAGCGCGCAAATCATTGTATGTGCATGTGTGTATGTGTATAGTGTATATGTATGCGTGTGTGTGTATGCAACGATTACCGTGAAGAGCGTTATCGTTAAAAAAAAGCATCTTTGCAAACATTGAACGCACAATAAATCTGTTTTACAGAGATTTCTGCCGTCAGGTAATTTACGCGTGCGTTTTAATGCGGAAAGTTCGCGGAGGAGCACCTAACGACTCGCACTTTCCCAGCGCTGTTTCCGCGAGAGGCCGTGTTTTTCCGGGAAAAATATACAAAGTATCGTTTAATAAACAGGTAATTTGAAAAATGCCCGGAGAAATTTCGCAAACCCCTTCCCGAAGGCCGCGTGCTGACCTCTCGCAAGCACGCGGTTAACTTCTACGTGGAAGCACGTGGTTTATTGATTTCCCCACGGTACACCGGAAACCGGAAAAACCGCCGCGCGCTCGAAAGAGAAAGAGAGGGATCGAAAAGAAAATCGGAACGCCGGAGCTAAATAAAGTAATCTTCCAATTGTGCCAGATCGCGGTGCTCGAAACAATTGTGCAGTTTATCCCATTGCGTCGCGAGCTACTGCTTCTTTAGCCATGTCGGGGCGGTGAAATGCGCAAAAGGGAGTAACTGCCGGCGCGCGTATTCGGTTTTACGATACCATTCCGATGTCGCATTAAACGCACACCGCTATGCGCTGTGTCTCGTTGAAAGTCTTCGGCCGAAGTTTATCCATTTTCGCGATTTATACGCGCGCGCGAGACAGGCATTGTTTCCGCGAAAACGAGGTTTACGAGGAACTAGACAATGTTAATAAATTAATGGAGCGTGCCTTGATATTCCGATCATTATCCGGGCGAGGTGACTCGGGGAAAGTTTCCGTGAACCAAATGGTCTAAGTTAATCTCGGGGACGTCGAGCAGGTTTACGTTGCCTTTAGAATGCGCGTCGCACGAATGAGAGACGACAGAATGAGAAATACTCTAGTTCCACGATTTTTTCTCTTTATATCCTTTCAGCTCGCGAACGGGGGGTTCTCCCGCGTAATAATCGAGCCGTCACGTGATTTCGTACGGATTCTAAATACGATATCGCGATAATGGATTCTAAATATCCGGAGATGCGGAGTACTTGAATTGTAGAAATGTGGTGCAAGAACGGTTTTATTTACACAATGATATTATGTCTTATCAGCATAAATAATAAGCATAATCATATAATATATATGTAGGGTACAGAGGAAAAACAATCAAAATCCATTTTTTTTTTCGAAATTGATCTGATCATACGATCTTGTGGCATTTTCAAAGAACTTTCAAAAATTTCTGATTTGTCAAGAACAGTTACAATTCATTGGAAATAAGGCTGAACGATGTACCGTACTGGGAGATAATGTCTTAAAACTTAGAATTGCGTTTTTCTCGAAATTACTCCGGATGGACATTGATCGTTTTATAATAATATTGTATAATTATAAATAATTATATAAATACTAAAATTATATATATAACTTAAAATCATCATTTAAAATCGAAAATCTAATTTTTATTAAATTACATTACACGAGCTCCGGCACACTTATTCTAAAACTTAAATGTTACACAATACAAGCTAATATTCTTTCAATAATCGCTTTTATAATTGAAAATTGCTCGTAATTGTTTGGAAAATTTTTATTTGTCACGATAACATTAATAAGAATAACTATCGGCAAGAACTATCAGGAACATATATATCATTCTATTTCAACTTTTTCTCTTTCATACTTGTAGAGGTCAATATTTTCGTATGTGCGCATACAGTTATCACAACAGCACCGATGTATTTACGTACAAAGTACATACTTTGGTGTATTGTAGCCGATAAACGATGGCGACTATATCAGTAAATTACACCATGTACGTTTTTCCTCCTCGCGTATCGCGTGCACTCGCGAAAGGACTTACGAAGTCGACGTGCACGATCCTCGCTTTTATCTCGCGGTCCAGGAGCGAGAGAACGTTTTCCGCGCGCGCGTATCCTTGTGTCTCTCTCTCTCCGGGCCTTATCTACATATTCTATTACCTTAAAACGGAGCGCTCAAGCTCCGACGTCCGTCACGAGTATATACGGGCGTACGGTCTTCTAAACGTCGTAAAACCCGTCTCCGCGCGCGCGAGACACGAGTTGCATGGTGCACTTTTTTGCTCGTCCACACGGACGATCGGTGATAAGCGAATTAATGAATCGCCGCCGCCATCCCCGCTGCCGCTGTAACCATGCACCAGACACCCGCGCACCTGCTTGCTTCTGTCTTGCAAAGACAGCAAGTACTGTCTCCTCGAAGGTAAACGCATTCTGCGATGGTGGCCACATAATGTTTGGGCGAGTGGGGGACGACTAAACAATCGGTGGGGGAATAACGATTTATCTTAAAGTTACGAAGAAACGAGCGCGTAGACTATTAATGGATGTATCGCCGAACGATCCCTAATACATGAAAGTCGCCGGAAAGTCGCCGGAGAGCACTTTCAAAGTGCGTGCGGATTCTAGCAGCGGGAAAACACGACCTGGCGCGCATTAATATTAATATCGTGTAAATATATTAATATACGAAGACGTCGAGTCCTACGTCATCTGAGAAATATCAGGAACAGTTCCAAGCACAGCAATTTCATTTTATATAAATATAAAGTATCTTCTACATGGAAGGTATTCGAAGTTTCTAAATCGAGAAACGGCAGATACTCGCTCATTAATGAATACTTAAATGTTGCCGTTGCTCCAATTTACGCTGCGTTTTTTTTTCGTTCAGAGTACGGTCGATAAATCATGATGTGTTTATCAATGTGTATTTTGTAAATACTGAAAGCAACTGTAATTCCATCGCAAGTTTAATACACGAAGATATCGAGACTTACCTACATCGTCAAAAACAGTTCCAAGCAATTTCATTTTATATAAAGCACCTTCTACATGGGAGGTGTTTGAAATTCCTAAATTTCCTAAATTAGTAATCCTGTTGTTCGATATGTCAACAATTTAATTTGTATTTTTATGTGACGCGCAAAATACTCTCGTATTCGATCATTCGTGCTGCATTTAATTTCGACATACGCGCTGTATAATATGTACCCAATACTCGTGCACTAATTAACGTGGAATGGAGATCCATATGGGAATAGGATCAAAGTCGGGAAGGATATTTTCATAGAAAGGGTTTTTGGGCGTTACCAAGTATATTGAAAGGTTCTGGAGAAATATCGTATATATGTAACTGGTTTCAACTAGCTGATTCCGGCTTACGTCGCCTCTCTCGCGTACGCAATAATGCGGTTTTGCTACATCGTGTGGAAGCGAGTGTAAAAAAAATCAAAACTGCAATAAATATAATCTGTGATCATCCGTGACTTTTCATGAACTGTTTGCAATTAATTCACAAATGTCTGTCGTATCTATTAACATCAGCATTGTTTTAACAATCGGGCGATGCTGTACAAGTGATATTTTTACGTGTTTTTTTCCATCTGTTAAGTCAAGCTAAATTTATTTCTACAGAAACAATAAAGGCATTAAACACAAAATAAACACGAACGATTTATGTGTTAACGATATCTAACCTATATCCTATTTAGATAATTTATCACAATGTATATTTAATCGTGAAATCCGGTTGCGATATTTTATATGTGTGATAGATTTTTACAAAAGATTTCGCACACAAACAATAAGAGAGCTAACACAGTTGTCATGATATAATATTTTATAAGATATAACCGCAGACGTCACACCTTTCGCAGAAAATAAGACAATTTTTTTCTCAAATCACGCTTCGAATCTTTGATACGTTATCATATGTCATTATAGATAAATTTTCATTAGATTTTATTTTATTATAAATAAATAACGATATTAATATAGTTACATAGCGTAAGTTACATAGCGTAATCGAGATTAAAACTATGAGAAATTAATAATTATCAAAATAATCTCAAATATCTCGAATTGTTTCAACTACAAGAAAGATTTGCATTCATTAAAAATTATTTTTAAATAATGATTAAATCATTCCTAAATTCGAAATAAATTTTTAACAGTATCCAAATGTGAAAACAGTCTCTTAAATGGAATCAGTATCTTATCACTGAGAAGCAATGAAAAATATTGCAACAGTTATAAGCACTGCGTTCAATGAGATTTCACTGGAGAGAATCAGTTAGTGGTGGATTATTCCAATCAATGATATTAGAGTGCTGAAAACAGTGTCTATGAACAGCAAGCTTAAAAGCAAAAAGAATAATGATTCAGAACTTGAATATCATAGTTGAATACAATTTTTATCCCACAGATACGAAGATTTTTATCCAGAAATAATCTAAAACTTAAAAAACTTTAAAAGTTACATTTTGCTATTATATGCGGTTACCAGTGAATTATCTTACTTCTACTGGCCACAATCAGTAAGATGTAAGACGGAAGAGCAAAGGAATGCGAATATTCGTATTGAAAATAAGTAAAATACTCACTAATCCTTATCTGTGTAATATCAGTTACTGTTTTAATCAGCAAAATTTTCATTCGTTTTAAGAGAGTACGTGGCTCTCATTAAATTATCCATAAAATGTAAAGATATTTTTCATTACCGCATTTATCACGCAGATAAATGATATGTGATATCATTTGTCGTAACGTTATTAATGATATTTGGAATATTTATAATTGATTTATATCGAAATATAAAATTAAGATTTAATACTATATTATACTGAAGTACATGTGATAAACTTTAACGGAACCCCAATCGCGACGAGATAATTATGTCCTATTATCCTACTGTTAATTATCTAATTGATAATTTAACTTGATAAAAACTTTAATTACTTAATTGATATTTAAGATAGTAAAAATATCGTTTCTCTCATATCAGAAATTGTCATTAAATGATACGCCCGATTTGAAATTAAATTGCTATTGCCAGCGCGAAAATGGATTACAACTCGTGCCATTACATATAAACAGTTTTTTGTGTTTATATTTTCATGTCTCACATGTACTTTTTTGTATTATTTTATTGGAATTACGCTTCTTTTCGTTCCTCGTGCAAGGCTTTCTTGAGCAGTCGAAAGTCTTTTTGCTTACGACGACAAATTAGTTTCCGAATTCCAAAGTTTCCATTTACACGCCGTTTTTGAATCGAAACAGAATGAATCATATTCGATTGCTTCTTCGTGACTACTCGTGAAAGTTCTAGTATTTGCAGATTCCTGTTTAGGTAAATAAGATAACAAAATAGCTGCAGGTGATATTGGGTAAAAGCGATCGACTATGCAAACTCGATACGACGGTGTCACTATCCAATGGCAAACAAGACGTTTTGCTGGGGGACTCATCTCATATTGTGCTGCACTTTGCGCAAACGCCTCCTACGGAAATATTGTAAGCACGCTGTGACGTGTGCTTACAAAACGAACACGCGCAAACACGTGGAAAAATTTTAAAGGGGGATTTATTATGTGAGAGACTATATTGCTCTTAAGGACGATTTACGAGCAACGTTAAAAAGACAATTTCTTCACACAATATCTTCATACTTAGTCTGCATCTTCTTCCTATTTTCTTCTCTTTAAAGCAATAGGATTAGTTCTTATCGCGCACAGACAAGAATTTTTGCCAATTAACTTAATTATATGTATATCAAATAGTATCACTGATTTATGATTTCGTTACTATGACTGTAACACGATTATACAACAAGAATTAGTCGCGAATTATAAGATAATAAAACGCGAAAGAAATTAGATTATGTAAACTGTTCATCAGTTAAATTATATTTCCATATATTTCGCTTCATATGTGAAGGAACAATAGAATTCATCCGCAATTGTGAATATTCTTTTGATCTGGACGTGTAAGAGCGACTGCAATACGCACATCGGTAATAAATAAAAGTATGACGAGAACCGAATGAAATGAAGCTCCAAGTGTGACCTCAGTCCGAATCGATGTTAGTGGTTCATCATGCGAGACTTGAACTGGTTACCGAACCTTGATCGCTATAGATGATGTAACGTGACAATGAACTGCGAGAGAAAACATACGTGATGGGTTTAATGAAAAGGCGAAACAAAGTACGAATACTAATCGCGAAAATACCACGTACACGCTGCAGAAAGTGTTATAATAAATGATTTATCGCAATCAAACTTTGTACATCTCATGACGAAATCAGTATCTCTTCGTCAACAAAAGTCTCGGAAGATTATCGTCACTTATCATATAATTTTCCATTTTCAATACTTTCAAAATTATTTTAAATATATATTGTTTTAATAAAGTATTTAAATAAAGTCTGAAAATTAAATAACAAATCTATATCATCTATTTTCTGTTATTCGTTAATTTATGAAAAATTATTTGTTTTTAGATATTTTTAACGTAAAAGATATCGACAACGCTTCGAAATTTTTGTTAAAAATTTATAAATTTACGAAATCTTTTGTAATTTCTAAACTGCTCAAGAAATTTCATCAATAAAGCTTCACACACTAAAGTCTTGCGCGACACTCTGTATAACGCTTTGCATATACTAATACACATAAGTATTGACCTAGACATTATCTTAACGACGCGCAACTCAGTTCTGAACTTGGTTCGGCGTGTACTTGCTGCTCTGCGCGTTTGAATATTTAACTTGCATTTTATGCAAAACTAACATACACCGGCGTTAATGGCTATAACTGTATGTAACGAGTTTATGAATATATTGATAAGAACGAGATTGTTAATCGCTTTGTATACACGAGGAAGCGGATTTCAAATTTATAATTGTCGCCTCTTTATGTTACAATAATACGGTATCATCGAGCGTGCGTTAACACGGCCGGGTGTGTTTTTCGCATCCGGCAAAATTGGTCTGATATTTTTAACTTTGTAAAATTACGCTGGGAAAATGCCGACGTAATAATTGGCGCTCAACCGGTCAATTTAATGATATGTTTATTCGTTTACGTTTCAACGCACGGCAGTTCGATGCCCCTCTTTGATATTTTTACGCAGCAACGCACTGTTCCGCATCTGTTCGTATCGCCGTATAAAGTTACAATCCCGTTAAATATGTTAAATTTAGAAATTGGCCCAAGCACTCCACGTACGCACGTACTTTGAAAGTATACGCGGCTTTTTAAATTTGATTTAATGTATTTAAACAAAGATAGATTTACATACATCGTCAGCGCTTCAGTTTCTTTACACAATAACTTACGAAATTGTGTGTGGGTGTGTGATCAAATATAGCACACAACAATTATCTACGACTGACTGATTCGAAACAAGCGATGAAAAACAACGAATTTCATTTCATTAGCATAATACATAAACAAACAAATATCACAAATTTTCAAAAGAAATTCATAACAATGGTACGATTTTATCAGTTTTATAAATTACTGTATATTATAAATTGTTCTTGAAGTAACATTCTAAAATTATAAAATATAAAATATTAAAATATTAAAACACTGATATAATAAGCAAGCTGTTCCGCTTTTATAAATTAACACATATTTGACTACGACAATTGATGTGATAATATTATTATACAAATAATAATTATGATAGAATGATATGATAGAAGTATCCAGAAGAGATCTAAACTTGTCGTCAACCGAAGACAGTTAACTTATCGAATAAAATAATAATAAAAAAAACAAAGTTGAACAAGGCAATAATCTCTAATACAAGTAAGCCGTAATCATGCTCGTCAAATATCTAATCAATGCCGCTAGCTCCATATCTTATAAATTCTTCATTTTAATCATATGTAGGTCGCCACTACTTCTATTCATGCTCCTACTATATCGTTTAACTAATTAAAACAATATTAATTTAACTAAACCAGTGGAGTTAAAATAATACTGTTTTATGTTAAAATAATAAATTTCGACACACACGGTAGTTAAAAATAACAAAATGTCATTTAACTCAAGGTACTGTTTAAAATTTTATCCTTTAATATTTAACAAATCATCTTTTGCCGGCAAAGTCCAACGAGCGACTGGATGAAATCCTTTTAATGAAAGCTTCACAGAGGCACGAAGGATCGAGCGATATCTCACGGAAAATACTCACCTTCCAAAGCCCATGGTGGCACCGTATCGCGACATGAACCGCCCGATCGCAATCTCTCACTAACTCGCGTGCTAAAATCGCGGGAGCTCGCAAGAAAAAAAGCGCTGGCGTGCGAAAGAAAAAGGAAAGAGAAGACCGTCTCGTCGCGAAGCTGCGACTTTGTTCTGCAACCGCGTGTCGCGAGCGTGCAAATACTTGGAAACTTCTCGCTGGCCCGTGCTTAATCACACATGATAAAAAAGGCTGGTGCCATAGGGATGAGCTGAAGTAGGAGGCGGCGGCGGATAAGATGTGGGCGGATGTGGACGACGACGACGACGACGACAATGATGACGAAAGTTGAGGCGCTAACGCCGTCTTCAGCAGCGGAATATGTTTTTTCCCGCCGTCTCCCTTATCTACCTCATTATCTGAAAGTTAGGTCAACAAACTGCGTACGCGGGATGCAGACGGCACGGCTGCATCAGACTTTTAATCGCGGTCAGACACCGCTTCACGCACTCTCGGGAGGGTACGCACGCCGCACCTCTCGTAACACATCCGTCGCGTTAACTATTAAACGATTGCAGGCGAATTTGAGACTCGCTGTTCACGCGGCACTTCCACGCCATTCGCCGCCCACGTGACAAATTATCGGAAAATAACACGAACTTCACTTGACGACCGTTTGACAAGGATCTGTGAATCACACAGCACGTTGTTCTCCTCGTCTCGAAACTCCGACGCGAATCGAACAAAGCTCCGGCCACGTGACTCACGACGGAACGTTTGCGCGATTACATCTGTCATGATTTAATTGATCTTCGAGTGTGTTATCAAAGTGTTTGACATAAAATCGCGTGTTTTTATTGATTAGAAGCTAAAATCGAAACAGAATTTTAGATTCTACAACCCTGATGAGCCGAGCGCACGTTATTGCGGAATACAATATTATTTGCAATTCATTAACTCGCTACGGTTGTTTTCAGCGAGAAGCCAATTTCGCGAAGCAAATCATAGATGCGTAAAAATAATGATCTTTTTTTTTGCGACCGAAATTAAACGGTTACATTTTTCATTTGCATTTATACGACATGACGTCCGCCATCCGCGTCCCTACGTCCCTACATCTTGAATTTTAACGTAACGCCTGTATCTATTTTGATTAACAATAAGATATAAAAATTTATTCTATGAAATATAATTTTTAATCAAATTTTTATTTAATATAAATCGTTCTACATTTTTGTCAGAAATATATATATTTTTATCATTATGTGTGTGCGTTACATTGTGTGTTGCACACATTGTTTCTCGCTATTTCAAATATAGGTGATAAAACGAGAGTGATGTTATCGATAATTAGTATTGTGTATTCTTCAGTAATTAATATTATACGTTTATTCATATCGCAAAATTTTTTTCTGCGTATTTACCCACGACACTACGACTTATTCGCGTTCAAATAGTTTAACCCCAATTCACTCAACCAATTAAGTTAATTCGCCCATCATATAGTATTAATGTATCTACAGTTAAATAGAATAATATAAATTTAATACGAAAGTATGTACGCGAATATTCTTAAGGACCAACGTGTAGTTTTTTCGTATTATATACCTTCTTTCTCTTTTTCCTATAATTTGCTAAATGTTACTTACAAACACTTATCATTATCTTATCATTATCTCAAGACAAGACGCCGAGTTAAGGAAAATATAGATCATCGTAAGAAAACGACATTAATATCGCGTATTAAGAGATCATAGTTATTCGAAGTGATAATTCTCTTGATTGATATGTTTTAATAATCATTCTAATATTGCAACAAAATAATTACATGCAGCAACGTACTTTTATAAAACTGAATTTTCTTACAATAGTCATAATTTATGACTATTGACTAAAAAATGCTCGAAAATAGTTTAAAAAGAAGATAGGATATTTAAAATTATAATCACATTATAATTTCTTCGTAAAAGTATATAAAGTTACAGAACTAAATTTCGTCTTGTCACGTTTTATAAAATAATATCTACTACATTTTTTGTAAATGCTAACAAAAAATGTAATTTGAATCATAAAAACTATTGTTCTATAAATAAAAAGAAAACTAATGTATATAAATATACAAGATATGTCTGTATATGTCACCCTCTTAATTTTTCCTGAAATAGTTCCTTGGAATTTATAATTATAAAACATAAGATAAGAATATTAAAATTATAATTTATTATAATAATAAAATTATAATAAAAATATTATTAACAATATTAAATTAACAATATCAAATTTCAAGAACTGCGTGTACTTCAGGTCTCGTAAATTCTCGTTAAGGGGATGCTGGAGCCGTAGCCGAACTCGATCGGCGTCGGTAAAGAAGACCGGCGAACTATATCTGTCCTTGTATAGACAAAGATATAGACAAGGATAGCACGCTACATTGCACGCACACATACGCACGATGCACACCGACATTATACTTTTATATTACGCTTCCAAATCTTGATTTGGAGGGTTTATCGATGTTTTTCTTGTTGTGCAATTCGGGGGAACTTGTTTTCGCGTTCGTACCAATGGTATATCTCTTATATGAAATACATCTTGTGACGAGCTGACAGCTCGCCGCAACTCGAGACGCCATATTGGGATAAGAGTAGGATAAGGAAATCTGTACTTCCGTAATTTTTTCTCGTTTTCTATATAAAATCGGAGTTTCCCCGAATCATTAATGTATGTACTGCAATTCTGGAGAAGGATTTTTAATTCTGTCAAATTAATACGACGCTATGTGCCGACAAAAAATGCCGGTAAAACAGACGGCTCCAGCATCCCCTTAAATTCTAAATCTCTTTCAATTCTAATTAAACACATATCTGAAAATAATATCTCGTTAACAAACTATAAGCTTTCATTTTTAACAAAAGCTGTTCGTTCATTTTGTAGACGAATCGATCACATATTTGTGATTTAATCGTCATTTCGTCACAGTTTCTTTCTCGCGGCACGTCTAATTAGGGGGTATTCTATGTTCGTTTCACATTTTTTAATTCTATTTAAATACGTGTCTGAAAATAATCTCTCGGTAAAAGATTACAAAGTTTCCATATTTTTAACGAAAGCGGCTCATCCATTTTGTATTCAAATCGATCGCGTACTTCGTCATCATTTCTCGCTCCACAACCATCTAGATGGTATTCTGTGCGCGCGTCAAATCTCTTAATTCTTAATTCTAGTTAAATAATCTCTCGGTAACAGGTTACAAGCTTTCATTTTTAACGAAAGCTGGTTCATCCATTTTGCATTCAAATTGATCACGTACTTCTGATTTAATCATCGTCATGCGGTTTACTCCCTCGCGGCAAGCATCTAAATAATATTCTATGTACGTTTTCAATCTTGTAATCCTAATTAAACGCGTATCCGAAAATAATCTCTCGTTTAACAGATCACGAGCTTTCACTTTTAACGAAAGCTATTCCCGTCCATTTTGTAGGAAAATCACGTATTTCGGATTTAATCGTCTTCACGGGTTTCTCGCTCACGGCAAACATCTAAATAATATTGTACGTTTTAAATCTTGTAATCCTAATTAAACACGTATCCGAAAATAAACAAAGACGAGCTTTCATTTTTAATGACGGCTGTTCGTCTATTTTCAAGTATTCGAGTCAATTAATTACGTAGGTACTTCGGATTTAATCATCATCACGGTTTCTCCCTCGCGGCAAACGTCTAAATAGTATGTATATATGCTATATACGTTTCAAAAATCTTGTAATTCTAATTAAATAAGTAATCTCTCGTTAACATATATCAACGAGCTTTCATTTTTAACGAGAGCTGCTCGTTTATTTTGTATTCGACCACGTGCTTTCGATTAATAGTCAAAACTCAGACAATTCTCACTTGTGACGTCATAATTCATTTGAATGCACGTTCTTTTTGCATGCTGGCAAGTGAGATTCAACTGAGTTTTTATCCACAATCGAGACCGTGTGCTTTAATGAATCTAAATAGACTCACATTAAAAGGTGAGGCTATTACTACGTTTACGCGAGCGTTACTTCTATAGTATCTTACGATAATTCCTTCGCGTAAACGGGATTTTGTATAGTAACTTACGATAATTTACTCCCCGCGTAAACGAGTGAATTATCGTAAGTTACTACAGAAGTAACGCTCGCGTAAACGTAACATATGAACCTGTATTGTTATGCTTTGTCACCAAAATAGGAAGGACGTTCTCTCGTCCTTATACTAGAGAAAATCGATTTTTCTAGGATTTTCTTGAAACTGTGAATATACACGTTAATTTAGGTGTGCTTCATGCGTGGTATAAATTTAAGTACCTCTTCTGGTATAAAAAATCAAGATACTGAGCCTCAAAGTTTCAACTTTTACTAATGAAAAGGTTTTCCAGGCCAAACGGTAAGAGACACGAGGTTGGCCAAGAGGACCAAAGTTGCTCCTCTCGTCGAGATCTATAAGGAAAAAATGCCAAAACTAAAAAAATTAAATTTAAAAATTTTTTTTTGAAACTTTTAGGCTCAGTATCTTTATTTTTTATACCAGAAGAGGTACTGAAATTTATACCACGCATAAAGCACACCTAAATTAACGTATATTCACAGTTTCAAGAAAATCCTAAGAAAATCGATTTTCTCTAGTATAAGGACGAGAGAACGTCCTTAGTAAAATGACATATATCTTACCTGAATAGAAAATACTCACATAACTGAGTGACCCAGATAACTTGAGTGTAAATGAAAATTGAAAAGCAACTAATAGCCATTTGTCTCCCTTTCAGACGACCCCTTGCGACGGAATTACAAATTATTCTTCCCTCTCCACGCCCCCGATGACGTCGTGTGGACGGAAAAAAAGGAGGAAAAAAAAGAAGAAATATTCTCCCCGTGATTTCGCGCTGACTCCAGCTGACTCGCTACGTCGCTACGGGAAAGCGACGAGGGTAAATAAACATATAAGTACGTGAAGGTATGAAGATATTCGTCAGTCGTCGTTGATTGCCGCGAGTGCCGCGCGCTATCCTGCATCGATATATTCGCGTCTCGTCGCCGCGAGCGATTTTTACAATGCGTACGGACACATACGTACATACGTAACTTGCGAAAGTTGCCCGGGGACACATATTGCTACGCGTGATTATGGGCAAGATAATAACGCGAAGATCCCCCACCGATGACGAGGAGACGACGAAACTGCGGCGGAAGCGACGGAAGAAGGACCTCGACCGGATACACTCCAAGATCCTGCAGGCCAGGCGGAAGCTGGTAGGTCGGCGTCCTCGACTTCTCAGTCCTCCCTCGATCCCGTCTCAAGGAACGTCGAGAAAACCTTCGGGAACGGGAGCGGCCTCGACGCGACCGTAGTCTCAAGGACGAGCGCGAGGACACTTGAACGCGACGCGACGCGACGCGACACTTTTACAGACACGATTATTGCACCACGACGCTTTCTGACTCGCAAACCGATTAGATTTTGCGTGAAAAAAAGCGACCGCGATTATCGGTAATCGCCGCCGCCGCTGCCGGTTTCGAAAAGCGCCGCGCTGGCATGGAGACGCGGTGGCTTCCGCGAATGTTAGGTTAGTGTCAACGTCAGGTGTTTACCAGGCTGCAGTACCGGCCCTCGCGAGCGATCAATCTCTCGGTTTGCGCGGCTTGATCGAGACCATTAACGCGCGTTACACCGTCGGGGAAGTTTATCTAAGACCGTGGCCGAATATAATCTTGTCGAACTCTCGTGATCTGCGAAACTATCTTCCGGGGAGAGAAAAGCGTGTTAAAGCTTTTAGATAAGTTACTGTGTGGACGAAGAAATGTTAGTTTGCACACGAGCTATTTTTAACAAGACGTTATTTTGTGACTGAGATATGTTGGAATTTATTACAGGATAATGTTGTCAAGGGTAACAAGGATGGGCAGAAGAGGCAAGGCCGTGCAAAAATCTGCAACAGACTTCTGCCAGAACCTGTAAGTAACCTTTATCTAATAATCCTTTGGTGTGTTACAATGTTATTTCCATTATTCGTTACGTCTGAACACCTTACACGATTGTTTCAGGCTGCTGGTATATACAGAAATGGCGCAAAGGGTAAAGACATCCAGAGAGGTACTTGCATTGAAACGTTATTTATTGTAACGATGAAATAATGAAATAGCACAAGTGCGTATTAATCTGTTGTAATGTCTCTTGCAGCAGAGACGGTGGAAAATACATTCCATAAAGCCCGGCTAAAGGCAGACGCATTGAAACTTTTTAACGGTGACACTCATGGATCCAAGTAAACGCATTACCACCTATTTAAACTTGATATAGCGTATCGCAAGTGTGTACAATTTGACAATTCTGATATATTTTGTTTTGTAGACGTATAGTAGAAATTCCAACACGTGATAAACCTACTGAACAGTCGCCGAATAAAGATTGTACGGAGAACAGCTTGGAATGGACACTGTGTACTTTGGAGCACAGCCCTGTTTTGATGAAAGAAAGACCAAGGTAAGTTCTTTGTTTTATATCTTCTATCAAGAATGTAATGCTGTACAAGACTTTTATATAAATATAGAGATGTTTTATATAAAGGTTGCACGTATATTAATGTTGCAGTCAAAATCAGAAACCATGTCTTGTCAAAAAGACAGGTGAAGAAAACATTAACATTTCTGAAAACGCAGACTATAACAGAATGAAACAAAATGTCAACAACGAATCGAGACATGGTCAAAAGGAAGACATATGTAAACGAAGACTGTTCCAAAATGATAGAGAGCAATTAGAAACTGCTACTCCAACTATACAGTAAGTAACACAAGTTATTTTGTTAAGTCTAATAAAAAAAACAGTGTATTATAATAAAATATTTATTTCAGACTATTTGATAATATTGATTTTACAAAAGAAAATGAATCTAATGGAAACAAAGCAGAACCGACGTGTTCAAAGAATAGCAAGGATTTATCTCTATTAAGTATCCATAATAAATTCTCCGAATACTCTAAGACAGTCTCTGCCAAAAATTTTGAAAAGGACATTCTACATTACTTAGGTATATTATATATAGAGTAATTATTTATCTTGTTGAGTGATTTATTAATTGTTAACCATTATTTATAATGGGTTTCAGATCCTGTTGAAAGAACAATGAAGAAATTAGGACATGGCTATGCTGATCGTTTTCGTCAACAACTTTTGCGCGATAAGAATAGACAAGAATTGGAAAATGTGGAACCTACATACTCCGTGGAATATCAAGCTTGTACATCCTCGAACATTTCGCAATTTTCACCTGTTGAATTCGAAGTTCCTAAGTGTAGCAAAAATCATACCACTGCAGTTCGTCTTCAAGAAGGTTCGTCTTCTCAGAAAAATTCCAGTTTAACGCGAAATACCGAACTTGAAAAAGGTGATGGCATAAGGCGTTATAATTCTACATCTTGCGAGAAAAATTGCGAGAATAACAATACTCAACGTAAAAGTAAACGACATGATATAGTTAATTTTTCGATTAACATTCCTGGTTATTCACAATGCGGTGATAACTCGAAACTCTTAGCACCTTCGATATTTTTAAGTGATGCCGTAACAACAAAGAGACTTTCTTCTAAAGATTTCCGTGAAAAATTACCGATTGCCATTTGTGACAATTCTGCACCAAAGAATGTATCTCAAAAATGTAACAACAGAACAGCAAATATGTGTAATGTGAAGAATGTTAAACGAGTACCTACCATTCTTCGCCGATATAGCAACATTACCAATAATAAGCTCGATTATTCTGTACAGATAACTGGCGATTATGTGGAAGGCTTACATAAGAAATGTGAAACTAACTTATTCAATAGAAATCCAAGCAACAGTATTGAAAGTGAATTATATGAAACTACATCTCCAAGTGTGTTGAAAAATCTTAAATCTAGTACAACAAACGCGATATTTGATCAAACAAAAATACTGGAGCCTCAAATTGGATCGATGAAAATAAAGGACTCGCAAGAGTCCCAAGTTGAAGAGTTTGATATAAATATGTATCCCAAGGAGCATAACGAAAGAAACGGATCTTACCGACACGATGGCTCTTTCTATCCGCGAACTTTGGAAACTTCACGTAATACAAATGTATATTCCGAAAAATTGCCTCAACAAGAACAAATCTCACCAGATATGAGGAAACATTGTTTTCATTCAAATAATTATCGTCCGACTAACTATCTTCAAGGCGCAAGTTCTTCTAATTCCAATATAGAGTCAACAAAAGAGATCCTTCAACGGACCAAGTTACATGTGTATGAGAGCAACAAGCAACCGTTTTTCAGAGAAAATACACGTAATCAGACTCGAAATATCCTTTTCAATAACGTAACGATAGCGACGCCAATATTAAACTTGTCCCAAGATATTCAAACCGAAAAAAGATCTACATGTCGAAATATGTTTGATAAAACAAACATAGAGCGCGCCAAGAATCAAGTTAATCAAAATGCGTGTCATTGCAACGAACAGTATGTTTATTTCGATTCTGCCAATTGTCCACGTAAGGAACAAGCGCATTATTTTAAAGAAACTACTCGACCTGAAAGTTTATGCGATACCAGAGGCTATAATAATAACATAGATAATTACGTTAATTTATCTAGCACTATGCGAAATGTACCGTTGGTATCACTGAAGCAAAATAATAATTTACACGCTGTTCCGAAAGCGATCGACAATCAGCATCGCGCAATGTTACTGCAAAATGTCACTCAACCTGTAAAATATTTTGCTGTGAAAAGCGGCTCGGATATGCAAAGAATACCCGTGTATATAAATGACAGAAGTGTTAAGGTTGCGGAAAATATTCCGTTAAAGGTAATAGCTGTAATGGATCCAAGTGCTCAAACAAAAGCGTTTCCGCAAGAAATTGCAACGCAAGTAATACCGTTGCAAACGGATAGTTTGCAATTTAGAGATCTTGCAACACGTGAGATAAGCGATCAATCTTTCGTAAAGCGTTTGGATTCTGTAAATGCGATACTGTTTAATCCGGATTCACAGTCCAATATCTGGTACGCTTCGAATTTGTAATGGATACACGATTACAGGTACATCACGTTACACACATATAGTTGATCGTAGCGACACAGCACATCGATCATATTTCTTGCGGGAAATATTATAGTTGCGAGAAATGCGCGTGCTTTTCCTTTCCAAACTTACAAACAATTGTTATTAAGATAAAAATTTTAAGTCTGCCTAGAAAAAGACAGTTATGTTTACTTATTCTATAATCTATATTTTTGTGGAAAGATAGGAACCTCTCAGAAGGTAATATATTTTCACAAATGCCTTGCGATATACTTGTTGGTATAATTGATATACACTCACACACACATATAATATGCGTGTTTTTTCCTTATTTATCTTTCTACAAGTGTGAACGACAACACACTTCTAGCAGCAGGTATTTCCTTAACGAATAGTAATGAATATTTGATTTGGTATGGAAAATGAAAGTACAAAACTGCCTGTGATAGTTGGAACATATATGTATATATTATTATGTTACCGTTAAGTCATAATTCTTGGACATCAAATGTTTAACATAGGAGAAATTCATTTTTCGTCAATCTCACAGCAATATCGATACATATATTAGTGAATTTTCTGAATAAGTGTGATAAAGGCTTGTAAATAAATGTCGCAGAACGCAAAGTGTATACGGCAGCAAGATGGCTTGCTAATAAATCCCTAAAGGTTATTCTACATAGAAGTTGTAGTCGTGAGTTGTAAGAAATTGACCAATCACATTCGAAGTTGAGGAGAATATTCAATATGTGAATATATGAAATATTTCCTAACTCGTTAGTTTCGGAGCGGGTTTGGTGAAGCGCAATTAATCTTCACAAGGATTCCTTCTTCCGCTGAAAGCACTCGCTTTTGCTTTTTCTTTTTTCTTTTTTTTTTTTTTATTCGGACATTCTTTTCCATTAAATTCGAAATAAATATTTAGAGATATCGATATGACAACATAGAGCGTGCACAAGGCGAGAAGGAGACGTCTCTTCGTGACGGTACGCGATATCAGAAGACCGGATCGACGTTGATTATTTCATTATTATTACGATTCGCTTTAACGCGTCAACGTCGTGCGGAGCGGTTTGATTAAACGCGAGTACAGTTTTTTTTTTCTTTTACAATCTCTTAGGAAGTACTCTAGGAGGAAGTCTCTAGGTACACGTGCCCGTTCCTTGCCAAAACGATACGTTCCGTGTCGTTCCTACCGGTTCGGCGCGCGACGGCGAAGCCGCGTGTTTTACTCTGGGAATGAAGTAAATAGTTCTCAGTCTTCAAAATTACTTTATTGTACCAAAATAAAGTCGTTAAAGAGTTAGTTACGATCTCGCGGAAATCGCTCAATATGAAATCGTAATACATCATCTGTGTGTTGGTATATTAGCTGGTAAGATGCTTATAGAACTGAAATTATCCAAGTCGGGTACTTTCGTGCGCCATACACAGCGGCGTTAAAATGCCATAACTCTCTTACGAACTTTATTTATAACATCCTAAAAGTTCGGACACCTTAATTTGTACTTTATATGAGGATACTTGGTTACGATAGACCTTGCTAACCGATTTTTAATGTAGTTAGAACCATGCCGTGTCCTCTCGGAGATTAAGTCGAGCGGCCGTATTCTCTTCTGGGAAAGAGAAAAGGAGAGAAAGAAAGGGGTAGAGCGAGAGAGAGAGAGAGAGAGGATAGAGAAAGGGGGAAAGGAGATAGAGCGAGAGATAGAGAGAATGAAAGTTAAAGGTAGAGATAGAGAGAGAGAGAGAGAGACGGTTCATCTTAACGTTCCCCTGAGTTTGATTTCAATATGAACGTCTCTATGCGTCAAACATAGAGAGAAAACAGTTTCCGGAAAATAGATTAATGTAGGAGAAAAAGATATCGATGAATATATAAAGAAGTAGACGTATCAGACTTGTGGTTTTATGTACAGCTTGGAGATTCATCGTCAACAAAGAAGGAATTAGCGTCCTCTCGCCCATCGTAGTATGGCGTCCGCTAATACGTCCAGATGCGCCTTCGTCTGAAACATATCGGAATGCGATTACATTATCTGTCGAAACACTTACGTGTTACGCACGGAAGAGGGAAATGATGAGAATTCCGTAATTCTCGCTTCGCGTCCCTTTCCATACGCGATACTCGTACAGCGATTTTGGTTATTAATTAGAGATGTGATCTTCACGTACGATTTGTCTTTACTTGGCACGCTAAATTCGAATATCAGTGCCCGATCAATAATTTTTAATATGCTCTAACAAATTATGCAAGATAATCTTTCCATTAATTTTGAGCCTTGACTTTATAAAAGTAAACGAGATATGTTTTTTTTTTCATCTGGAGCGATCTTATCAATAGTTCTGTTTATATAGAGATCTCCATCGTTTTTCTCCTACCGCGCTGATATCATCCCTTTGACGCGGGAACACTGAAAGGCAAATTGGGTAACGCGAATTTATCGCAGGTTATTTTCCACATGTGCAAGCAGATGGGCAGATGGTGTATGAATTATCAAAAAGATTGTGTTCCCGTATTTTGCTCCGAATCTCTTCCGGAAAATGCTGCCGGGCGAGTCAGAAAACCGAGCTCTTGATATTACACCCACGGTTAGCGCAAACACGCGTACGCCTCCATTTTCTTTTGAACTTTATATTATGACGAAAGTCACTTTAAAAGTTCAACGGAGTTTTACATAGAATATAAAATACATATAGCCGCACGACGTATCTTTTAGCCTCAACCAACTGATGAAAATTTAAATGAAACTCTTGCGCGCTACAAAGACTTCCTTCTAAATTTATTTGGACATCGTCGACTGGAAGGAATGTACGAAATGTTTCTCAAAGTTTAAGGCAAAATAAGTATATCGCTCCGTATTTCGATCGGTTTTTCTTTCGTCGAATGGATCAAGTTCTTCAGAATTTCTTTCGTGTTAACGAAACAATACCGACTGTGTAGAGATACATATACAGGATTCAAAAGAGATGTATACATATATATAAAGGGGTAAAAAGTGTCACATAATTTTACTCACAGTTTTGTAAAACATGCAGGCTTGCCTGTCCTCGTCCTCGCCTGTGGGACAGTCTATAAATCCGTCGCACAGGACATGATCGTCGATGCAATGATATCTACCCATTCTATCTGCGGTCGGGCAAGCGAATCTTTCCATTCCGTCTTCGGAGACTGGACATTCTGTAAATAGGATCGCAAAAATCCTTCTTCAATCCGTTGGTATGAAGCTGACATTATGTCTAGGTCTAGATAGAACGTACAGGTATTATATATAAACGTTATAACGTTACCCGATATCTCGGCCAAATTGGAAAAAATCGCACATGAAAGAGGTATCGCGGAAAAATGCAGTAGACACTAGTATCGTCTTTCTAACGTAAAAACCGTTCGAGTTTCTATATGAAATTTATGTTATTTCGATTATTGTTTTCGTTACTTTTGTCAATGTCCGGTTTTTTTTCTCTACATGACTGCGAGCGGTATTTCTATATTTTTGCCTCCCTCATGCGCGGTTTATCAAAATAAACGGTTCTTCCATTATTTAAAACGACAATTAATCGGATTAGTCGTCGGGCAATTGCCGTATCGAATTTTCCCATTCTACAATCGTGACAATTAATGTAAAATTTAATCGTCGTTAATCGGCAGCTGTGCCGTATTAATATCTAAGTGTACATTTCAGCGCCTGATATTCTCGCCGCATGTATTCCAGTATTAAATGTAGTTGACTGATTCTCTCTGTGTTATTTGCCCAGCATGACGGTGTATTTCAAAAGCCCGTATATACAATATGCTCGGAGTGCACGCTAAATGCGGTTAGCGCAGTTCTCTCTGTGTGCTACTCGCTTAATACGAAGATCTCATTCGAAACGCGTAGGACGAGTCTTAGATAGTAAAACGTATAACGCCAAATATGTACGATGGGAAAGAGATATATATATATGGGTCGACGAGTGTAAATTTCGCGATAATAATCGCGATAGCAAAACGTATAGTTGCCCGTAGCATTTTACATTGTGACCTATCGCTTTTATATATCGTGACCCGAAACAGATCAGCACATGATAAAACAACGCTTGGAAAAACGGTGACAAACGCACTTCATTTTACGTTTTTATATAACGTATCTCACTTTTCAAAGTGGCTCTGGGCATTTTAAAGGAAACTTTCAATGAAAAGGATCCCTCTCGCATTCCGTACGCTCCTCACGTTTTAGATTTCTCAATATCGTCTACACGACCGGAGAGGATGTTTACTGGCATACCCTCGTACCTCGCCATCCTCTTGTCGCGCGGATTCGTCCTCCCCCTCCCCCCGTCGTCAGCGCTCTCTCCTCGATCAATAAATTTGGGAGGGACGGCGGGCACGTTCATGCGACAGCGTTTCGTCACTTTTTCTTTATTTGCAGAAACGCTTTGTCTGTATTTCTCACGCGCGCGACGCATTTCATTCGGATTTATAGACCCGTTCTGCTCGTGTAACTCATGCCCGCGTATATTCATATCGTAACGCGGCTCATTCGACTCATATTTCAAAAAATTAGAACAATTTCCACTGTTTTTTATACGAACGGAGATTTTACGGGATTTACGAGAAACGTACGTTTATACAATTCCAATAGTAAGCGCTTGAAAATTTTAAAATATCGTGATTAAATTCCATTTCCCGTGGTAATAATTAGATGATATATCATTTAAGTCGCTTGAATTTCTTGTAAATTATTCTTTTCGAAATTTTTTTGTCCAAATTACGTAAATACAGATAAATTAACTTTGCGAATTTTTTATGTATTTGAGTTTTCAAAGAGTTTTCCATCGCTATTTTTATTTACAATTTTCGATCTTTATCTATTTGTTTGAATTTTCACAGCAGGACAAAAATTTAAAATAAATAGAGATTAGTTCCTTAAATTAAAATATTCTAATGTGACGTTCGCCCGCGGCTCAGCTTTCCATTCAGCATTCAGACTGACATACGTTAATAAATGGAATATTAGAGAGAGGAACGAAAAGTGATATAATGAAAAAATGTATCTCTTATTTTATAAATTATTACATCGTCCAGTTTCGCAAAAATAAAAACTATTCATTTTAATCCACCTTTTTTGGATAAGAATTGCGGGAAAAAGATAGAGAATTATATTTTACCAAAGTTGAAATGTGTTTTAATATTTGAAAAAGAATTCACTCACATCTCGTTATCATCAGAGAATTTGGCATTTAAGGTTATCGGAATATTTAAAATGGATTAACACGTATCTCTATAATTTATCGTACGATAGATACCTTGACGTGCGTCGATATTCATAAAGTAAAAGCTTAATCAAGTGAATTTTTTGCGAAATGTCATCTCTCTGTCCACAGCTATTCACAAAACTGATCGAGCGTTTTAAAACCTCACCTAATACAAACGTTCTTTAATATTTATGATAAAAGAGAAGAGAAGAAGAGAAAGAGGGAAAGAAGAGGCAGGAAAATAGATTTTTATATCAGAAGGATAATATATTTCTCCCCCCAAATACATTTTTAAGAACTCTTGAAAATTTTCGAAGCGCTCGATCAATCTCGTGAATCAACTACGCTGCGGGCTGCCGCACCGATTCGCGGGCTATTCACGAGTATCTACAACGAGATACCGACGATAACCGTATCACTTACCGATTTGCGGCACGTCGTATTGTATGCTTCCCCGGATTGATCTCAACATGAGCTGCGAGGCGATGCTCGCGCCGGCGGTCGGCGCCGAGGACGCCGAGGATGCTTGAGCCTGATGTCCCGGGGACTCCCCCTGCGCGTCGATCGAACGCCGTCCGATCGTTATCTGGTTCCGCTTGCTTCCAGGTAGCTTGTTTCCGCTAGTCTCGTAGGCGAAGGCCCTCGGCATGAAGCCGCCGTTCATAGGTAAGTTATACGGGGTGCCGCCGCCGCCGCCGTTGCCGCCGCCGCCCTCGGCACGCGCGAGATCAGTCTTCGTGCTCGTCGCAGTGTTAAATCTCTGCTCCGCGTAGAGATCGTCGTGATTCGATTGTCTAGATTCCTGAAGGGTGGTTGCCTTCTTGCCGGCCTCGTCGCACACCAGGATCGGTAGACTGAGCGGGCCCCTCAGCGGGTGCCGGCATCCGATGCGCCGCTTCTTCGGACGCTGATGGGCCTGCCGGTTGCCAAACAGATGATTGCCGTCGTCGTGAACGTAGGGCTCGGCGACGTGGGGTAGCTGCTGCGACAACGGTGGCGGCGGCGTCGCGGCCGCGTGCGGCTGCGACGTCACGTACTCGGAGTAGAGGACGTTCAGCACGGCGGGCGACAGGGCGAAGAACACGTTCTGGAGCTCCCGCGGTTCCTTGACGATGTCGTCGATCAGCATGCCCGCCGGCAACCACGAGGATAATCGCGGCTCGTCGTTGAAGACCAGCCAGTTGGACAGATCGTCCCGGTAGGGACCGTCGGTGGGGTATATCCTCAAGTGCAGCAGGTTGCCGCCTACCGAGCTCAGCTCGCTCTTCTTTCTAATGCTACCGCTTCCGTGACGATAGTCGAGCCCCTGTGCGCCTTGTACTTGTACGATTACGGGTCGATTGCCCACCGCCAGGTCCAGCCCCTGTCCCACGTAGGTGAGAAGCCAGAACATGCAAACTGCCATTTTACAAATCATTAACTTTTCAAGTTTGCTTTTCTCTCTATTTCTTCTCTCGCTCTCTTTCTCTCTCTCTCTCTCACTCTCTTTCTCTCTCGCTCTCTCTTCCTCTTACCTCTTCTAGCTTTTTCTATCTGTCTATATATATATCTACGTATATATCTCTTTTTCTCTCTCTTCTCTACCACCACTTTTGACGCACCCGATTATACGGCTGGGCGTGGTGTTATAATTGACCTATATGAACAGTAATGATGCTCTTTTCTTTTTTGTGTTTTCTTATTCGCTCTCTTTAGCTGCTTACTACTCACTGCCAGTCTAAAGGCACGTCTGTAGCAACTCTGGGTTAGGCCGACTTTTCGTTTGAACTCGCGGTAGGTACACTAGGAAGTTGAGGATGGAGCATGTACACACATATATTTATATATATATTTATATATGTGTATAATTATATGTGTGCATATATGTGTGTATGAATGTGTAGGTGTACGTATGTATGTGTTGTGTTGTGTGTGTGTGTGTGTCTGTGTTGCGTGTACGTATGTACCTGTGTGTCGTGTGTAGGGTGGGCGGGAGATACGGTCGATTGATACCGAAGGGACGAGGAAGGGAAGGATAAACTTGATAAAAAATCACGAGCGGCGATATGTTACGAGAGACACAGCGACGATTATTGCATAGAAAACGCAACGGTGTGCTACGCGTGCAACTGCATCGACTGCGATCCGCCTAGCATGTTCCAATTGGGACCACGGATTCTGTCGCAGGGGACCCCGAAAAGTACGGTCCTCTTTCTCTCTTTCCCTCTCTCTTTCTCTCTCGCCCTGTCTCTCTTTCTCCTTCTTTCTGTCTCTATCGAGGATAAGTCGCCGACTCGAGCGCACGGTGTATCACGTTCGACATTTGATTGCGTTATGCTCGCTCTTCTAATCGATACGCTTCACTTTCGGTAGTCCATGATAGTAGCCGCGACCTTGGCTTTCCCTTCGTGATAAAGCGCACACGTCCTGTACCGACCGTCCTGAAATCAGGTCGTTAATAGAGAATAACGTGCGATATCCTATAACCGCGAGTGCCAGGAACACAAAAAGATTTGTGGTGGTATTATTATTTTTCTAAATTTTCTTTTATTTACTTTTGACTTGTTATATATTTTTTTTTTCTCAGGATATATTCAATAGAAGTGCTGCGACGTGTGGAGGTGGTTATCGGAGGTGCTCATCGTGCGTGCTCATAGATGCGTACAAGGTGCTCGAGTGTGGACAACATTTAAACCAATCGATGGTGCCACTCATGTTTAAACGCCCGCGATCGTTTCGCGCTTCGCCAATAAAGCTACCATCTCTCCGAGAGACAACCCTCTCCCTCGGCGTTTGTTTCCTCATCCGCTTACCTTTCCTTTCTTGCTTTTCTCTCTCTCTCACTCTCTATCTCTCTCTCTTTCTTTCTTCCTCTATCTCTCTGCTCTTTCAATCGGCCCACCCTCTCTTTTCGTTTCCTCTCTGTCGTACGTCCCTAAAGCCTCCCTTTCCTCCTCACGTATCGAACGAACGTCCCGGATATTGTTCGTTTCCACAAAGCGGAAATCGAGCCACGACGCCCCGGCGGCAATCGCGATTACGGTAAATGATCATCCGGAGGCGTCCGCCTGTAAATAACCGCGCCTACCTAAATTTCGCCCGAGAGAGCCCGCGATCGTGCGCGCAAACGTCGGCGAGATAAGCCGCGCGCGTACGTGACGCCGTGAAGTCATTTTCGCGGAGCGTGCCATTACGCAGATCTATTCGCGACCCACCGCGACGCAAAAGTTGGCCGAACGCGCGATACCTTCCAGCTCTTACGTTTCTCTAAATCCTAAACTTTGCACTCGCGCGTTACGTCAGACCCCTAGGATCTGATTTATCTACTTGAGCCAAGTTTCCCTCGGAGTTAATTTCAGACTCGGTGGTGAACTCGAATGTCGATACCCACTCGGACCACTAATGACCCAAGTATTTACCCGGAACCCGGAACTCCGTTTTCAGCTAAAATCTACGAGTTGAACTTAAACGCCCCAAGCAGTTCTGAATTTTATTGCAAAAATGCAACGAGAATTTTGTACGATAATTTCTTAGATATTTTGCGTTGAATTCGATCGCGTATCTATGACAAGAGAAAATCCTTCGCGAAAACGCAACCTTTTTCTCAAGTAATTCTTACGCACTTCTTTATGTAATTTTGCGTCGCAAGTTATCAGGTAAGCCCAAACCGACAGAGTGCGCGATTGCGTTAGAAAACGAAACGAGGAATCGAAGTAATCTTACGCCAGCGATTCAGGTCACGGGAATTCCCTCGAGTCGTCCTAAAACCCGCGTGATCGCGCGAAAGCGATTCAACCGCGTATAATACGATGAGCCGCGAACGTCCGCCGCGACCGCGACGTAACTCGCGCGAACGTGACGGACACGCGGGACGCGACGCGATCCTCGAGTATCGGGTTCGAGTAACGGATCCGATGATCTGGCCGTACGACGATGACAGGGTGATACAATGTGGATAGCAGCAGTGTGGTATGTAGGTCGGTCATATCAACAGGTGCCCCGAAAAACGTTCAAAAAGCAAAGGCTTGCCGTGGCAGAGAGCGGTGCGCGTTTGTCGGTGCGAGACGCGGAAGTAGGCGGTTAACACGAGCGTGTATTTTGCGACAGAGGTACACAGGATGTGTAGAACAAAAGGTAGAGAAAAAAGGTACACCGATATATGTATGTATATATATATAGAGAGAGTGAGGACAATCCGGGCGCGAGAGACGCCCGGTGAGTTACAGACAGAGATTACGGTTCATCGATAGGAGGTGCAGTGTTAACGCGGGGCATTACGTGGATTATACTTGCTTCTCGATATCTCGCCGCCGCGCGTCTGCCGTGCCCGTGCGTTTTCCCTCCGAGAGCTTTCGGACCTCCAATCTCCCGCCGCCTCGGCCTCTTTTCTTCCCTCGACCCTCCGCGTCGCGTCGCGCCGTTCCGTGATGCTTCTCGACCTAATCTCTCTTTTCCTTCTCTTTCTCTCTTTTTTTCTTTCCTTCTTTCTTTCCCTTTTTTCTTTTTTCTCTTTTCTTCACCCTCTCCTCGCCTCTGTCTTGCCTCTTCTTTCTTCCACTCGTCTCTTCTTTCTTTATTACCGTTTCTCGCCCAGCCTCCCTTTGTTTCCCGCGCTATCCCCTTTCTCTCGCTCACGTCCTTGGATAAAAGGGATGTCCTCCGCCGCGTCCGGTCCTCTTCTTGTTTTATTTTTTACTGCTCCGCCGTCCTCGTCAGCGGACACCCGGGTTTCTGGCTGAAGTTACCGTTCCGGCGACGTTCGTCGTGCATCACGCTACCCTCTTCCCTCCTCTATAGCTCGATCGTTGGTCGCGCGATCGCCACGAAGAAGATCTATGCTCGCCTCGACAGTAGCACCCTGGCAGCACCTCGTAGGATCATACCACGTACGACGTCGTCCGGTTACACACGGCAGGGCGCGATTCATTCACTGACATCCTCATCGCTCGCCACACTCCGCTTCCGTATGGCCGTTCATATATGGGCGTGTGATGTCTCGCGCGCGCGCGCGCGCGTACGCTCGCACCCGTCCGCTCGTTCGCGCTGAATATACGTGCGTACGTGCGTGGAGTGCGTACGTGTACGTGTGGCGTTTGACGTTATACCGAAGGGTATTACGATCCGGAGTCACACCGCGAAGTCACCGGGACAAATCTTTCAGGTTGCTCTAATGGCTCGATCGTTCTAGCGCAGTTACGGCTCCCCCTTCCCCGTCTTTCTTCCCACCTCCGCTTCTTCTTTTTCTCACTTGCTCTCTCTCCCTTTCTCCTTTTCTTTCTCTAGGCCTGTAACACCGATCTTTTATGATGATGTCTGGTCTGCGACTATAATCGCGCGGCGTATTTCAAAGGTTAAAGGCTGTTTCCCGCGGTTGCCCGACTTCCCGTGCTGACGTCGCCGACGATCTCGACCGGCCGCGCCGGTGTTCCATTGAGCGACGAGAAAGCGCTCCCTCTCTCTCTTTCTCTTGCTCCTCTCTTTCTTCCTTTCCTCTGCTCTTCCTCTCTCGCTCTCTCCGTCTCCCACGATGCGTAACTCTTTCCGCTCACCCGACCTCGGCACGTCGCGCGACAGCACCGCTTCTCGTTGCTGCTGCACACCTCCTCGCGAACGCCGTCGCTGACGCGCTTACACTGGAGGAGATCCTCGGGAGGGTGTCGTGCGACGAGTGGCCCGACTACTCTCGCCCCTTTTTCCACACGGCGCGGAAGTAGGTGCTCTCGACCGACGGGAAGCGACGACGGAATCGAATGGTGAGGAGGTTGCGGCCGTGGATGGTTGCTTTGTTGGTCGAAGGTCGAGGGATGTGGAGGATCGAAGGGTTGGGACGGTGGGTTACTTCGGTGAGTGAGCTGCCTGGCGCCCTCACCAGAACTAACTCCCACGCTGCGCGGCGAGGACCCGGTGCTATATACAACGCGCATTCTCCCGGCGCGCTCACCCCTCTCTTCTTCGCCGACACCGGGTGAGAGGGTGAACGACGACGGGGTGGCTTTCACCCCCTTCATACGTCTCACCTGGCCTCGCCTCGCCTCGTCTCACCTCGCCTCGCCTCGCCTCGCCACGTCTCTCGCCACCACCCCGGCCGACGCGCCCATGAACGGATTAATGCTGTCGCGAGCCCTATAAGCACCCCCGGCGACCGTACACCCTGCGACTTCATATGACGTTTCACCGCGATACGGTCAAAGGTGATGTGGCCATCACGAAGTGCCACCATCCTGTCCGCGATTGCCACCCGTATACGACAATTCCCCGTAATACACACCCGTCAACATGAATATACGTGACGCCGCATTGTCGCCGGGCTGACACTGTTCGAGACTCGTTCGAGCGTATACTTCATTCAGCCCTTGTGCAGCTCGAAACGAAAAATGCATACAAAAGGGAAAGAGCGTCAGTTCTCTGCTGAGAGAGAGAGAGAGAGAGAGAGATGATGACGTCTCTGGGAATAATATCTCGGGGAATGTCTGCAGTTTTGGTCGTTCCTCGGTTGGCGAGGAACCCACCCACCCCTTCCCCCCTCCCCTTTTCCCTCCTCTATTAAAGCGGAGATCGCAAAATCAAGGACCGGAATGAGGGATCCCGGCTCCGACCTTCGCTATCCTGTAAAATCCACCCCTACCCCTAGGTTTTAGCCCGTCGGGCTGGGTGCCTCGCCGTGCGCACCTAATCGTATCCGCCCAGTTTCTATCTCTCCCATGTAGCCATATCACCTGACGCACACGTTCTTTCGATCACTGTTTGGCCACGCATGTCGCAAGGTCCTGCCTACGTTCGCACGGGAGATCGTCTCGGCCTCTCGATAACACTCGGCACTCGGCTGCGGCTTCGTGGGAGTGTTTGCGGATGACGTTGGTCGATCTGAGCTTCCCCCGAAAGACACATGTAATTGGCTGCCGTTCAAATTACCCTGACTTCCACACAGATCCAGGCACAGTTTTCATTAATTAATCGTCAGTTTTATATACGCATATGATATATCCCTTTCATTTTGTTAGCTAATGGCCTACACCTTCGCTGTTTGCCGTCACAAATTAACGTGCGTGACGTAAAATACACAACGCGACAACACATTCGATAGATTCGGAATTTTCAAAACTCTATATATTTGTAATACGTACAATATTTATTTTAGCGTACTATTGACAAACCTTATAATCTTTATTTAAGAAAAGGCATGCGAAAAATAATAGCTTTTTTTAAACTGATTTTTCTCATTTAATCACGATTTAATTAAGTGTACTGTAATTTATGAGAAAAAAAGTGAGGAAAAAAAAGTAAAATTTAATCGATACAAAATTTAATAAATGGTAATTAATAGAAATTTGAATAAGATTTAATTATCTCTCTAAAGATTAAAAGCTAAAAGCAAAAAAGGTACATTTACTTCTCAATAGTTTGTAACGTAAAAGTTGTTGATGCATAAATAATTATCACTTTTTTTAAACGTGTGTACTGGTATTTGTGAGAAAAACAGGAATAGAGTTCTGGGACACTTGGGATACGATAAATGGAGGAACGAAATTTTTAGCACCTGCTGGACAACGTCGACCTCTTATTTACATGTCTCTCTTTATTCCGGTCGCATCGATTCAAAGTTCATTTATTTATAACCAGTTTCGAAGGTAGAAAAGGTAGAAAGTTAATGATGGTTCGTCGTACGTTCGAACAAGTAATTATAGCGATTTACGTCCGTCGTTCGGAAATAGATTGCCCAAAGAAACTGAAAATATGATAACTCCTAGATCGTGCTAATTAATTCTTCCGCAGTACAATATTACTGCGACGTTATTTTCCCTAGGAAGGGACACGAGGCGTATGGGAGTATCTTTCATTGTAGACAGGTGCGATAAATATGATATCACATGATACTTATAATACTTGTTAAGCAGGCGATATAAATAAAACAAGGACAAAGCATTGTCTACAGACATAATGAGTTTGGCATATACTAATAACGTAAATTGTATAGTTCTGGAAAACCTTTAAATGCATAGGCGTTATAGGCAAACTTATATGCTCTCGATAACTTTTAATGAGATACTCGCCTACCGAACCTCCAGGGGAGTCAGATGCCGCAAATAGTAAATCTCGAATTTAACCGTAATATTGCGCAGATGAGTTGTGTACGCCGGTTATTTTTTACAACAGACATCTCTGCGAATATTTGTACGCTCTTTGCCCTTTATCTATTCTGCTCTTTGTTGTTAGACAAAATTCTCACGAGGAGAAGAAAAGGCTGTTTCGCGATCTACATACTGATATACAATGAAAAATACATTGTTTATCTGATACGATTAATAAAAACAATAGAGCTATTGACGATAAAGCAATACGTTAAAACAACCGGATTCATTTCTCACACATAGAGATGAGCACGAATGTCAATAACACAGTAACATGGAACAGCTTTTAACTATCGACCTCTCGGATATTTTTGTAGGAAACGGACGTGGCAGAATAATAGATTCTGATATTGTATTGTATTGTTGATTGATTTATAATCTATTTACTTTGAGCAATACTAGTAGATTAAAACAAAATGTTTTTCATTTTTTCGTGGAGGCGTAAAAATATGTTTTCGACTAGAAAGATTATTAAAGACACATGAAATAACACAATTATTTAAAAGTGAACTGAGAAAAAAATGTTCTGGATTTTAATAAATATTAGTTTGCATACAACTGTGACTCCATTTACTAAAATGAAGAAAATTTTCCTTTCTATTAGTATATGTGTATCCACTGAGAAAAAAATATATTAATAAAAAAGGAAAATTTTCTTCATTTCAATAAATGGAGTCACAGTTGTATATGCAAACTAATATTTACTAAAATTCAGAACATTTTTTTATACTGTGTCGCATTAATATTTGGTTATCAAATAAAGCAGAGTTTTATTCAACAGTCTTCAATATCTCATATATTTATAGTCATGTAATTATCTTAACACTTTTCCTTCACTGCTAATACTAGTATACTTTTTTTCATAGACAGCAGTTGAAAGATAAAATCTTAATTGACGTTTAATAGATAAATGTGTGATAGAAGGAATATATTTATTTAACGCACAAGGAAATTTTGAGTTACATTCAATAATATTTTCTTCGACGATTGTTTGCTATTGTTACGTACATGTGCTCCAACATTTCGGATGAATTTAGGGCTAAAAATTACACGCTAGCACGCATGTTCAAGCAAACACACTCGTCGACTAAAACCGATGATTGAAATGAAACTGCTACATCAAAGTTTTACGTCAACTGAGGCTTTTCATTGTTGCTGATCGCGTATTCGTGATGCATTCAAGCATACTCGGAGATATACATGGCTGCGCTTCAATAGGGGTCGTAAACTTTGCTCGAGAACGATGATAGAAACGCAGATTGCGTCGTGTTCGTTGGCCCGATAGAGCTTCAGTATTGATATTTTAAAATTTACACAACGAAATGCCTATATTCTATCGGAAACGTGCTCTTTTGATTTTCAAAAAATACCATTTATTGAACAGCAATTTACCATTGTACAGGATGATCCAATGTTATCAATTGTTAGTGAATTTTTCTAATTTCTACAAACCTTGTATGCAGATAAATGATATCAGTAATTGTTGAGCCGTTGGTTATAATAATCTTTAGTTAAATTCGGATGTATTATTTTAACAAACGCGATGTAAGACAATATCGTAAAGGAAAAGTAGATTTTCATGCTTATTAAATTGCCTTATTGAGTAAAAATGGAACCCTAAAGAGATATACTTTAAAATGTAATTGATTTAGTTTGACCCAATTTAATCAATCTTGTAAAACTGTTACGGGTTGTAGGCGATTATCGATCTGGAGCATTTAGACAGCATTTGCTGTCACCTCAATTTCGACGAAATGTCGGTTGCGAGAAATGCATTAGCGAAAATTATCGTTGTCGATAATTAGATCAATATTAAATATCTATCCGGGAAAATGCCCGGGAATGCATGTGTTTACCGATGCACTTTTACATGTTACGTCGACGTAAATAACGTATAATAATTTTAGCCTGTCGCGTCGATTATAGAAGGCGACGTGGCAACGCGCGCGAGAACGCGTTTATTTTCAGGGAACGAAACGAATAAAGTTGCAAACGCGGAATAACACGGTTAAAAACGGAATTCCCAACTTGCTACTTCCGACGTAGGAGCAAGGGAGAGGTCTTCGTAACCCTCGATACGGGCACACACTCGACGATCCCCGCGGCTGTACTATTTCCGTGATTGATAATTCCGCAATGAATATCTAACAGCGAGGTTAATGTGAATCGACGACATGGATTCGCTACAGAGACCGTTTTTTTTTATTTATTATAATTTATGCGGGGGCCGCGACGTCACGAAGGGACCGCGCCACGTGTCGCAATCCTAAGACACGGAACGCCGAAATGGGGAAGGGCCGGACAGATTAATGGGACGCGAGAGACTCGGGATGTTCGCGTTGAGGTAACATTTTTTCTCGTATCACATCGTGCTCGTATCGGGCCCTGGTGTCGAGGTAAGCCTGACTACGGTAACGAATAAAAAGTTGCGAACGAGAGAGAGAGAGAGAGAGAGAGAGAGAGAGAGAGATATCGCAATACGTAGATTTAAAATTGCATCGGCGTCAAACCTTCTGCGTTCCGATTTCTACCACCCACCCTTCTCTGCACCGAACTCCTGACATACGATTTTATACGTCCTCCGTCATCGATCCACCGAAGAACACCAGATGCCAATATTGGTTACAAGTTTGTCGGATAATTTAAGCCCGATAACACGGTGACCGTTGATCCGCTGGAGGAAAAAAGACACGAGCTCTATTTGAGTCGTTCTTGATTTTCTTCGTTGCCGGCGTATACCTAGTTGTGCTATCTCGTGCGTCCGCACTGACGACCATCGCCAGCAATTCCGCTATATTTAATCGCCATTGCACGAAGAGTCGGCGGGCGCGGATCGATAAAGATCGCCGGAGATCAAGAGAGTTCACTGTCAGAGATAGCACTTTTCTTATCTAAGCGTTCTGGAAAGTCGAATAGAAAGGCGCGAGGCTTCTCTGAAATTATTATTTTGTCTTCGATGTTACACTTTTATCAGTTTTGCCGTATAAGTTTTAATCATAATTTTGCATAATCTTCCAGAGTTACTCGTACTGAAATTATCATGCGGCCTGTAATCTTATTTTTTATTTAATGCGAGCAAATAAAAGCAAATAAAATATTGCAGTTTAGATTGCATAAGTATGTTATCGTCTGAATTACGTAAATGACAAATAATGTGTATTACTTATTTTAGTTTAATACTATGTATAGGATGTACCAAAACCATCAAATGGCGTAGTACGGTACATTCAAACCGTAGATTGAATGTAATTAATTTAGTATCGGTTTTCCATTAATAATAATTCAATCAAAGACCATTATTTATCGCAAGTTTCTATTTATTAAAACTAAATAATTAAATTTTCATTGACGTAAAATTGTAGTAAAACTGATTGAAAGACAACATTATAGTATTTCGATGAGCTTAAAACGTCAAAACTTTGAATTTCTTAGTTAAAATTTTCGTAGTTTTATTGATACCTTGGCATAGAAACAATTTTCCTTACTGATGTCTCGGCATAGAAAGGAATTTTGGTTCATTAGGTTTTAAGTTTATTTAATTTAATCCCTTTTAAATTGTCTAATTAGACGCTCTCGTAAGTCGTAAGTGACCACATCTTGCTCTGTGTCTCGTATTTTCTTCTTTTCCTGCTTCGTTCAATCACATGCTATCCACTCACGTGACGTCGCAAGTTAGATGCTTATTTCTTCTAGAAGTATCCAGACAGTATCTGAAAGTGAAATAACATTTTGTGATTGCAAAATTATAGTCTGATTGTTATCGTGTGTGGATTAACTTTTCAAACGCCGAATATTATTTTCAATGCTTGAAAGAACTGTAAAAAGAAAAACACGTATATATGACGTATGACATATGATTACTATGTCTGAACACTCATCGCTTCTTTGCAATCTCGGTAACTTCGTCATTTGCTTTACCATTGCCAGTTCACGATAAGACTATTAAACTAAATTATTAGTTAGATTTATTTTCGTGAAACAGGTGTTCCCCTTTCTTTATATCATGCCCAGATACGAAAATTTTTCAGAGAAATTATAGAATTTCTGTGGCTATTAAATGACAATCGATATTTAATATTTTTAGTTTTGACTGAAATGAGTGACTTACATACATATATATCGATCAGCGAAAAGTGTAACGGACAGATATATAATTGTCAGAATTCTCCTGAATATCAGAAAATCTTTTTGGATCATTTTTGCTTCTCTCTTTCTCTCTCGTGGAAAAATGTATAAGTATCTATGTATGTATATAAAATTTATTATTCTTTATACGTTCTGTATACGTGTTATACCTTTTGTACCAAATGACTTAACTGACGTAAAGACATGTCGTATAAAAAATAAATGGATATCAAATTCAGTGGTACTGTGGGAACCACAGAGAATCATTATTATTTCCGCTGTCCGATAAACTGTCAACCTGCAACAACATGTATAAGATAAGTATGTACATTTAAAATTTAAAGAGAAAGAATATATTTAGTTTTGCCGTTTTAGTTTTACACAAAAATTCAGAGTAGTTCCAATAAATAAATCTTTTAAAAATTAAAAATACTTAGAGAGAAAGAAAGAGAGGGCATATTAATTTTTAACATTTATATAATGTTATTATTTTTATAATTATAATTATAGTTATAATTATATAAAATTGATATCCAAATTGATATCCAAAATAAAAATTAATCAGAGTTATTTTATCAGTGTTTTGAAAACGTCTTGACGAGATCTTTTATCTCAAGGAAAAAAATCAAGTTTTATTTAAAAAATTACTCGCCTTTATCTTGAAACCAATAAACCCACATCGGAATTATGTCCCCTTTTAAACCAAACGACTTTCATCTAAAGCATTTTTTCTACAATCAAAAATTAAACAGTTTTTGGGGTGTAAATTAAAATAACTCACCCCTGTATAGTGCAATTATAGTATAACTAATTGTAAATAGCAAGCTATGCTTAATGATGTCATATTTTAAATTATATAGAAGAGCACAGATTAAAGAAAATTAAATTAAAAATTTATAAGTAAAAATCACTTGCTCTGTATGAACTCGACATCATTCAGCCAAAGTCTAATGAATGATTCCGAGTTATTTTTATATCCTAGTCAAAATATACTGATTTCGATAAATTAAACGCAGACATAAATCGAAGTGAAAAGTTATCACTTTTTAATAACGTTACTATATCAATATCATTTATGGGTATATTTATATAAATTCTGAACGTAGACGTAAATAAAAGCGAAAAGTCATTACTTTTTAATAACATTATCATATCTATATCATTTATTCGTGCATATTTACATAAATTATGAAAATGTTCAAATCATGGCTAGAAACAGCTGTTTTTAATTATTCTTTTATTTTGTTACTTTTATTTTGTTTTGCATAAAAATATCTAAGCGTCGTGTAAGCACGTTTATAATACAGATCAATGAATTTCTCGTAAAATACCAAGAAATTATGAAAAGAAGAATCTTATATTTTATCGTTTAATAAAATTTTTCAGTAAAAATATCCGTACATTATAGGTATCGTTCTGTTTAAAGTTCTAATCTGATATGTGCTGTCAGAAACATCAGTGATTTATTCAGTGTGTACAATTTCAAGAGATGTGGGCACACTAACAATGATATCAGTATCTGGTATCATAATGAGTATATAATACGTAAATTACCGTATTATGAGGTCATTTGACACGTGCGAATCGTTTACGGATTGCTAGACGCACTGTGTAAAAACACAGTTAAATTAGATCCACACATATTAAGAAAATATTTTTCTCTCAAACGAAAAAAGACAAAATAAGACGAGATTAGAAAGAATCTATTAAATATTTTTTTATTCTTTTTTGCAAGCAGAAACCTTCTAGTCGATTGTACCAATTTATTAAACACATGCAATATTAAATGACGCAAAACTCGTTTAATTATATCACTACTAAAACTATTTATAAATACTTGAATTAAAGGAAACAATTTTAGTTTTGCTAAAAAAATACATATTTCTTTTGTTTTCGAAAATATTATGATGTGAAAATATTTTATTTGGACTGAAGTTGATGTAGCGTTAATATTATACTAGTATACTGGATTAAGGATATACTGATACCATAAATGGAAATTTTAGAAAAATATATACAGGAAATGTAGAATCACTTCCGCTTCTAGCAAGATAATGTTCTGACATGTGAATCAAAGAAAACTGATATTTAAATGCACGATTAGTCAGCGCAGCGTTATAACTTAAACGCAATGGAAAACTTGTGGCCCGTGGACAAAAAAATCTCGGTTAGGACGAATTTCGTCATGTGTTACACATGTGCGTAACATGTGATAAAATGCAAGGGTCTCCCTATCCTTTAAAAGGACTCATCAAACCGCCTTGTCGCCGCGGCCGTTTTGAAAGGACTTGATTATCCACCTTACTTTTCTCATGTATTTAAATAGTCCAAATATTGTATATATATGTATATATATATATATCTCAATCTTTTTCAAAACATTATAAACTAAATATTGTTAATGTTGTACATATCATCAATCTTATTTGTAACTTTAGTTTTGTGTTCAGAAAAAAAAATTTAAAAAACTGTATAATATTTTTAAATATTCAATAGGCTCTGTTTTATATATTTTTGTGGTCGCGGGAAAGGGTGGTGACGGGAAGTAGATGTTGCTAGGTCGCAACTTCTACGTGATAAAGCATACGTTTTGCCCCCCAAAGCGGGGGGTCAAACGGGCGCGTCTAGACAACATTCGCTTCAGCTCTAATCTTCCATAGAACCATAGGAAAATTTCGATAAGTCGCTTTCACCGTCAACACTCAGGGACCTCTTCTTGGTGCGGGTAGAGAGATCTCTTTATCTCCTGCGTCGTGGTGGTGATGACGGAGCCCCCGACGACGGCGAGAGCGGGACATATGTGTACGAATGGCCCACAACATGCATAGGAAAGATTTATAAAGCGCGGGTGGGGAGCTGCGAGAGCATAAAAGCACGCACGAAGAAAAGCGCAGACGCTTTTGTCGTGTTCGCCCGTGGCCGCCGATCGTGTCACCGCTGATTGTGCGAGAGTAGTGCTAAAGTAGTTTGCGGTACTCGGGGGAGAGAAAGCCATGGGGCTCGCGAGGGCGGCCGTCTTCGCCGGCTGTCTCCTTCTCTTCCTGGCGGTCGACGCCTCAGGCAGTAAGTAAAGCGGAAAATGCGCCTCGTCGCTCATCCCCCTTTTTCTGCAAAGTACTCCGATACTTTATGATCTACCCCCCTAGAGAGCTGGAACACGGCCGTTGCATCCGGCGGCGCGCGTACGCTCCTCTTTCTATTCTTCGCTGATCACGGAAGCGCGAAAGTTATAAGACCGGAGAGCAGTACCGATTCCGTACTTTTCCTAAATAAAGAACTTTCCTCGGTTGAAAGATGTAATACGTATTGAAGGGAAGTAAGTAAATGTGCTGAGAACAAGCCGCACGTATAAGGCGATATATATCAAGAGTTTTGGATTCTATTGAAAAGAAACTGCAGAGTTCTTCTTAGTTCTTTTAGCTTCGTAACTCTTATGTACATCTATCCATGTAGAGCGGGAAATAGAATAGCCGAACGTTGTTCGAAATCAGAAGAAAGAAACTGTTCCCATTCTTTTACGTGCGAAATTACAAAGCAATATGTCCAGCAATATTTTTTATCCCAAGGTTTCCAAGATAAATGATAAGAATAATGATAAATAATGATAACCTAAGTTCAAATTTAATTTGAATCGATTGAGGGTTGAATGAAAGAAATTATCACGATATATTTAACGCGATATTTAAAAATGCATAATTATTTTAGTGATGAATAGTACAGTAATTATTTTAGGGGTAGTTCAAATTGTTCTAACAGTTCTATTCCGATATCAACTCTTACCTACATATATTTTGTATATACGTTAGTACTTCAACCGTATTTCACATTGTGCAATATAACGTTGGTTAAATTATTGATATTCCTGAAGGAGCTCGCAAAGTTGCGTCTCAGCACTCAGATACGAAGATTTAAACCGCGTTCTCCCTTGCGGACCTTTCGAGAAGACCGGATGACTTCGATGAGTCTTAATTTTTCTATCAAATTAAAGATTAATGCACGAGTGTTGATAGAAAGGGTCAACGCGCTCGGCGCGGTCAGGTTTGAATATCATAAGGTTACTCGCTGTGTCAAGGATAGAGATTATCGTCGCGAATGGATGTCGAAATTACTGATATTTTCGTCAACTACAGAATCCCAAAAGATTCCTGGAACTTTATCCGCGCTATTGTTCCAGTGATTAACCAGCGAGAAACTATACAGATAACGAAACGCTTTTCCTTTATATATTCATTTGTAATTCCATTGCGATTTACAAAAAATTATCTTTGACGTCAACTATCGTGACGTACTTATCTAACATGATATTAAATTCAGTTCAATCTCCCTCGTAATAGCAAGGGGAAAGTGCTGCTGGGTACTTCTGTGCGCGAAATCCTTTCTCTCTTCGTCGTCTTTAGCGACAGTAATTCATTCATCGACGTGATAGTATTTGCATTATCGACATATAATTTTCCATTCCACGTTAAGTTACAATTCATTCCAGATTTTAATTAATAATCAAAGTCGACCGCGCGCGCGCGAGCTTCTTTTATGTTTGTGAATGAAGTATAGAAGTTTTTATCGGCGAGCGCGTGTTTATTATTTTCTTATTACTGGAGGAAAAGATTAAAGAAAATTGTTCTTTCGATTACATTGTCAGGCGTAAAGGAAGAGAATGCCAGGGGCTTCCATTAACAAACAAGAATGCTTTAAGTTGAATTATGTTTCAAGCAAAGTAACGGCCACTAAAGTAATTTGTGGAAGGTAGTTGTGTAGGTGTATATAGAAAATCAGTTCTTCTCAATTTCCGCGAAATTGGAGCGAGTAAGTAATGGATGAAATGAATGAAACTCTTTTTAGCCAGAGAGCCCTTTTATTCTTATAAATAACGAAAAAGGGACACTCATTAATTTACAAATGTATTCGGTGTCGCGCGTGAACAAAAATGAAATGTATGATCCGCCGCGAATTGGTTAAATATTATTGTCCCATCCGGCAGGGAGCTGGTGGATAAAATGCTCATTCCGTAACTGTAATAGCCGATTTTATGTTTTTGCTCTTAAACGATACGGGGAACTCACTCCCCCTCCCCCTTCCTCGTATATCGCTATAGGATTGATAACGCTTTATCGTGCCTCTATAATTCTTCCTTCGATCGGTGTTGTTCGAGCTAATCTGGAGTAATCGCGCGTGCATTAGCGCACAATATATGTACACCACACAGTCACACGACGACCATTTATGATTCTTTTTATAAAGCGCATCTCGAATGCGAGAGAATGCTTATTCACTTTCGAACCTCATATTCCCGGCGTTTGAATGTGAAATCAAACGGGAGTTCATGAATGCGTTTCCTCTTTTGCTTCCTCATAGAGGATTATTTGTTTCTATAGCAACGGAACCGAATATAAAAACCACAGAAAAGAACACTTTCGGAAAGGATTTTCAGGACCTCGAAGATAAATTCGTAGCAAATAATATATTATTTATTCAGGTAATATAATATAATATTTTAACCGGTAATATAGCATACGTTTTTTTTCGAAAAGGCGACTTTTAATTGCAATCAATCAACAACAATCAATGTTTATTATATACTTTATTTATATAGATATAGACGGAATATTTCTTTCGCGCGCGCGAAGTAAATTATCGGCGAAAATGAGGCAGGCTCGGAATGACAGGGGCTCGGGTAATCAATATCGCTCCTGACGTGAATGTGCGGTCGCATTTCTAACGTGATATTGGGTGGAAGCAATTAAGCTTCGCGAAGGAGCGAAACCCCTCGACCGTGCAGGCGAACGCGCGGTGGAGTTTCCTCGCCACGTTCTAGAAGTAACGAAATAGTGGTTAAAGAGTTCGCGTATACGGCGTATCGGTGCTCTCGGAACGAGGTCCGTATCATTGAAACGATTACAGGTCCCCCGTGTTCGACCGGACATTTGGTAAATTGATCTGACGTCCCTACATCCCAGTAAAATAGATCCGATCTGACCGTTGCGACGTAACAAACGTTCTTTCACCGCCGCGTTTTTAAGTACGTTAAAGGGAGCGTATAACACCGCGATGGCCGGAGCATCGCCACCGTTTCTCTCGCCGCGGCTCTCTCGAGCAAAATGCCATCGAGCGTGGTGTGCCCCGATCGCGATCGTCGGCCTTACGTGTCGCCGCGACACGGTTTTCCAATTGCCTCGGCTACGCGGCAATCGTATTTCCCGAAACGCCGGAAAATAAAAACAATGCCGCGCGAGAGTTGGACGTTTTTTTTTTTCCATATAAATTATAAATATTCCCTTCAAACGTAACATCTCCCCCGCTATATCGAGCCTCACCCGACGGCGGCGCATTGAAGGCGCATTAAATTCCGTGATAAATGATTACAATGGCGCGCCTGTAACGCGCGCGAGAGAAATGGAAGCGCGATTGTCGGGTTAAAAATATGAGCGGAGAATACGGGGGTTCATCGAGGAGAAAGATCGACGTTTAAACGCGCCGTGAAATAATGCCGGGAGATAGATAACCAGCGCGCCCCTGAGCGTATGAAATATGAAAGTGGATACTCTCTGTCGTTCGCGCCGGCGAATTTGCATAATGCATACGTTTAAGTAATATAACGAGAACGGAGCACCTCTAATCATGCGGCGCACATCGGGGAGCAAGCATACGCCGAGAAATTATGGTTGCAATTGTTAGATTACAGCAAAATCCCGGCGAGACTCTCTCTCTAAGCGCGCCGGTATACATTTCACATATTGTGTATACATCTGTCGACGTTGCATTATTCAGTCGACGAAATAACATTTGAACAGCGTAGCTATAAATTTAATTGACGAGTTATATGTTCCGCGCAATTTGCGTATAATTTTGGATTGGCTTCTCCGAGAGAAAATTTCGGCACAAATTATCCCCTTAATTCGGTCACCGAACTTTAAATAAAAATTTCACTAAAATCTATGTAAATATTAAGCCAAAATAAATTTACCCTATCTATATCTAAAGAGTAATTTACGAAATGTTTAATTGATTATATCCTAAAAATAACCAGTTGCTCCTATAAATATCTTATTGTTTGTCGCTTGGAAAACTCGATTCCGAATCAAAGGGTAAATAATACAGAAGAGTGAAAGATAGAAAGCAATTGAGAGAGATAAAAGTGCTAATACAATTTCAAAGGAATTTCTTCTTCGCACGTTCCGGCAGATAAAACGTGAAATTCCGACGGTTCGGTAATAATAAACGGAAATCGCCGCACGACTATATTTTATATTTCGACGAACTCGTAGATTGTCGTCAAAGTGACGACGATTAGAGGAAAAGAGATTGATCATCCCCTGTCCGCAGCATTATTGTAGAGAAACAATGCACATCTTGATCGAATAGATTCACCCTTCTTTTGGTCTATTCTCGCGCGCGAGAGGAGACTCCCACTTTCCTCCGCCACCTCCTCCTCCTCTTTTCGCACGCGTCGTTCTTTATCCCTTTGTTATCCCTTTGTCCCCATTGAAGGAACGCTTCGCCCTTTCTCTTGTTGCACCTCATCTATCTATTTTTCTCTTCATTTATTCGGACTCTGTTATTTTACTCTGTCTCTCTCTCCCTCCCTCCCTCTTTTTCTCTCTCTCTCTTTTCTTACGTCATCATCATCTAAATAAAGTGCAATCTGAATATTTTTATTTATATAATGCGTTATCTGTCACATTATTCTTCGACAAAAAAAATACTTTTCCGATTTATTCGTAAAAGAATTATCCTACGCTCTTCCCTGCGGCAATAAAAGATTCCTAGTAGAGCCTCGCTATATATGCGCACACGTTTCTAACCGAATATAAATTGTGAGGATTAGATTTAACTGCTTCCGCTGCGAGATACTTTGATCGCTTCAACGGAAAACGCTAATTGTCGTATAACTCTTATGGATACACGTGCACAATTTGTAAATCGCTCCGCTTTCGTTTTCTGCTATTTGTTTCTGCTATTTTCGTAGAAACGATATCATTTTTGCCGGATGCAAATTAATTATACTCATCGTTTTTCGTCGGGCAAATATAAATTATGCAATTCGTCTCGGTGCAAAGAGCAATTTCTTATGCTCGCTTGTTTTTCGCTTCGATTAATCTTGATATGATATTGGGTAATATTTAGCCGGCTAATCTGTTATTAACGAAAAATCTATGTTTACACGTACACTTTTTCTCACCCTATATATGCATGTACATTAGACTCGACATTAGATATACTCGCGATAGAAAATCAAACTTTGCGTTTGAATTTGCGAAGAATGCGAACCTAATTCCGACAGAAGTCTTAAGAAGTACAACTATAAAATTTTGAAAACAATTAAAACAACAAATATTTATATATAATACAATAAATAAAGACAAAAATTATATAAAATGTTTACAAATGCACAAATATATTGACATACCTTAAATATAAATAAAGAAGTTAATTTAATTCCTCTCTGCACAAAAAAGTTGCTTACAGACGTAAACAATATTTTTACATATTTTAAAATTTTCCGATATTCTTTGTTCCTTTAATACCGAGATTTTTACGATATAAATTGCGAAATAGGCGTATAAATTATACGTCTAGCAAAATTGATATTAATGTTTTCGTGATACATGCAGTTTGTGGACTTTAAACTTCCGCCATAGTCGCTTAATGAACATCCGTTATTTCTTCATATTATTGACCTAATAACTTGTCGTTTATCTCGAAAATAAGTTGAGGGATACGGAGATTATATGGCTAATAAGACACACCAATCGTCTCTTAATAGAATACAACCTTATCTTATGTATCTTATTAGAACTTAATAGAATATAATATAATTAAATACAGCCTAATAAAAATATTTTATATATTTATCTAATTTCATAAAATTATATAGTCAACTGTAAACTTCTGTAAACAAATAAGATTTGTCGCATCTACTGAGTCAACTATATTTATATCATGTTATGTCTTGTTTGTGCTCGCCTATGAATTTTGCCATCAATGTTTATATTTTTCCGAATACAAGCGAGATAAAGGGGAAACAGAGATAAAGGCTAACGCGAAACGCTGACAAATATTAATATTAAATACTTATATTGATAATTCTTCGTAATGTCTCATATAAAATTAATGTGTTTAATATTGCAATTACATTATGAAATACATGATTAATGTAATGTTTGATATTTGAAAAATGTTCAATATTTAACATACATATATTTAAAAGTCGTGCATAACATATAACAACAAATGTAATAAATGGCCCTTTGGTACTTTAACGCGCAAATCGAAAGATTCGCCGGACTAAAAAGAGCGTAACGTAAATGTCAAATTACTACAGGTACTGCAATTGATTGATACGTTACCTTTTATAGCTCCTGCTCAAAGTGTCACTTCGGCTTTGTCCGAATCAATTTAAATGTTAAAGGGTGAAACTATTGTGGCACACCATTAAATCCGCCAGTCCGCGGCCACCGACACGCTCTATCGAACAAAAATGGAAGTTCCATGGTCCAGGGTCAAGAAAGTCACGATTAACAGCACGTTATCAACGTTCGACCCTAGCACCGAGTTCACTCGATGCATAAATATATTTTTTTCGACGTAATCTGTGCGTCAGGCATAATAGATTATGGCCCGTCTGTTTTTTTTTCTCTCACTTGAGTCCGTATTTCGATCAAATTCGAAAATTAAAGTAATGTCAAGTTAATACAAAGAAAGTTTTAGTTTTTTTTTTTTCGTTTTTGTTATACGCTCTCCGTTTTTATCATTCTCCTTGTCATATTTCTCTGCAAACACATTTTTAATTAGTGCAAAAAAAGAAGAAACATTTCCATTCACCTTACCGTGCAATTTGTGTTACTTTAGTTAACATAATTAATATTAAATACGCATACTCTTAAAATTATTACTAGAAACTGGTACATAATTTTCTTTTTTTGTTACAGATAAATGTACAGTCGGCTGCCATGGAAGTAAGTGTAATATTTTTATAAACTATATGAGAGAAATATTGTCATGATTATTTTCAAAAAGGACAAAAAGTCTCGTTGAATAAATTGAAATTAGAAAATTTCTTACAATATAGGTAAATGATTTCGTGATAGATTTAACTTATACGTATTTTTGCGTGATTTTTTTAGTGCACGGAGGTAAAGCCTATCAGGAAGGACACACATATATATACGATTTGGAAGGAACGTCTGTGACATCGGTCCCCGATGCTCAGGGTGACGCTACCTTGAAGCTGAAAGGTACCGTTGAATTGTCAGTGAAGCCTGACTGCATTCGGCAGATCCGATTGAAGGGCGTATCAATCAATGGAGCCGTAAGTATTTTTTTATCTACTGTTACATCATGTGTTTCCTAAAATATCTGTGCTATAAATATCGCAAAAGATATATATCCGAGGAAGACAGTAGAAATAGAGTAGAAATATGAGGCCCGGAAGTGTGATTTCGATCTTAAAGCGATATTAAAGAACTTTTAATCTAATTACGTTCAAATGAATCTCCGTAATAAAAACTTTTAATTTACTGCTCTCAGCAGGAATTAATCTGTGATAGTTTATATAATTTGTGTTTTCAATATAATACACATGAAATTTATTATCATTTTATAAACAATGAATTATTATAGTTCAGTTTTATGATATAAACACATTACACACACACTCTTATCTCTTTTATTACAAGTTACGAGCATAGTAGATAAATTTGTTTCACATATTGCGAGAGAATACCAGAAGTGCAAGTGTGTGAAAGTATACGTATGCTATCTTTTAGCCAATATCGCTGCCAGATGTTGAAAAGCACGCGCTGCAATTCAACTATCACGATGGCCATATCGATACGGAGGTCTGTATCGAACCCGGTGACTCGCAGGCGTCTCTTAACATCAAAAGAGCGGTCACTTCCTTATTCCAATCAGCTGTCATACAAGAATCTGGCTCTACAACTCATCACGAGGTACAATCGTCTTAAATTCATTTATCGTATTGAAGTTTCAGTAGAGAGTTATGTCGATATAACGCAATTGTCTATTATATTTTTAGGTCGACGTGTTCGGCGGTTGTCCAACTGACTTCTCTTTCCATAAAGACGGCGACTCGTTGGTTATCCATAAGGAGAGGGATCTGATCCGTTGCTCCTATCGCGAGAGCATCAGGCACGGTCCCGTGTCCGCGATCTACGATCAGAAATCCGACATCCAATCGGCCCCGTTGCTGTCGTCGCATCAGAAGATCGAGCAACGTTTCAAGCGCGGTATTCTCAACAAAGCGACCTCGGCCGAGACGTACAAGTTGAAACCCTGGAGCAACGGAGACATAGGCGCCAAGACCATCGTGCAGACCACTCTGACGCTCAAGGGTGAGAAGGGCGATAGCCCGAACGCCCCGGTTTCCCAGCCGAGATCCTTGATCTTCGAAGCGCCGCATCCCGTCGTCAAATCGTCGCCCGACAGCATCGCCGCGGCCGTAAAGGCAGCGAGCGCCGAAGAGCACGACGGCGTAAAGCACGACGCGGCGGAAAAGTTCGCGCAACTCGTCAAAGTCCTTCGTCTCAGCAGCAAGAACGACATTCTCACGATCTACCAGAAGGTGAAAAATGGCAACGGCTTCGACAAAGTCCTGGACAAGAAGATCTTCCTGGATGCCCTCTTCCGCGCCGGAAGTGGTGAGGCAGCAGAGGTGAGCGTGGATCTGTTAAAGAGTCACGAGCTTTCCGGGGTCCAGGAGCTTGTGTTCTACGCGAGTCTCGCTCTCGTGAATCACGTGAACCTACCATCGGTGACCGCTGTCACCTCACTTCTTGATCAACAAAACTTACCGCGCCTCGGCTACCTTGGAGTCGGCCAGGTGATCGGCAAGTACTGCCAAGAGCACCCTTGCGAGAACGTGGCCGAAGTCAAGCAGGCCGTCCACAAGATCCGCGAGAAGGTCGGCAACGGGAAGGCGAAGACCAGAGAACAGGAGAATCTCATAGTCTCGGCTTTGAAGGCGCTGGGTAACACCAAGTACCTTGACGACGCCACTCTGCAGAAAGTGGTTGGCATCGCCGAGGACAAGAACGTTCGCAATCGAGTCAGGGTAGCCGCGATCGAGGCTCTGCCTACCCGTTGCACCATGAAATGGAAAAATGTCCTTCTGAAGGTCTTGGGCAATCGCGAGGAAGACAGCGAGATCAGAATCAAGTCTTATCTGGCTTTGGTCGCTTGTCCCTGCCCCCACGTCGCTGAAGGTCTCAAGGAGACTTTGGACAAGGAAACGGTCAATCAAGTTGGATCCTTCATTCAGAGCCATTTGCGTAATCTGCGAGCGTCCGCTGATCCGAGCAAAGCCGAGGCGAAAAGGCATCTCGGCCAGATCAAGCCACGAAACAAATTCCCAGAGGACTTCCGCAAGTTTTCCTTCAACAATGAACTATCGTACAATGTAGGCGGTATTGGAGTCGGTTCCGCCGCGGAGAGCAATGTCATCTACAGCCAGAATAGCTTCGTGCCACGCTCCCTCAATCTAAACTTGACCACCGAGATATTCGGAAGATCTTTCAACTTCTTGGAGCTTAATACGCGAATCGAGAATCTCGACAGATTGATCGAACATTACTTTGGACCCAAGGGTCGCTTCACGCAAGACGAAGCGGAAGATTTGGTGGAAAAGGGAGTGGACAGGGCAGAGAATGTCATTAATTACATCAAAGAGAAGGTCGGCAAACTGCGTAGCAAGCGTGAAGTCAAGCAGGGAGAACTCGACAAATTCGCCAAAGGTGTGAAATTAAGGAACAATGAGGTAGACCAGCAGCTCGACTTCGACCTGTCCGTCAAACTGTTCGGTGTCGAATTGGCCTATCTGACTTACGACGGCAATCCCACGCAGGTCACGCCAGAGCACATTATCGACAAGGTGTTCGACAACCTTGAGGACGGAATCAACAAGATAAAGAAGTTTGATTACAATGTGCAAAATCACATGCAGTTCCTCGACGCAGAGGTCATCTATCCGACAAATCTCGGTTTGGCTCTCTCTCTCGGCGTAATCGGCACCAGCGTGGTCCATATAAAAACATACGGCAGGGTCGATGTTCCGGCTATCATAAAGAATCCGAACAACGCCGATGTACACTTTGGCTTGGAGCCCAGTGCCTCTATTCGTATTGCTGGTAACTTGGTCGTTAAAGGATTCGATGTGGAGTCCGGTATGAAACTCATCAGCACGTTACATACCGACACGGCGTCCGACATAACGGTGAAACTATTGGACGGCAAGGGTGTCGACGTAGTTGTCGGTATGCCGAAGAAGAAAGAGGAACTCATAAGTATTAGTAGCGAGATTCTGTTGAGCTCCGGCGATACATATAAAGCTGCCAAGTTCGGTAAGGGTAAGGTATATAAAGACTGCTTCGAGCAGCTGTCCAGTGTTCTGGGTATAACAGTTTGCGGCCACGTAGAATTCCCCGTTGATAGCATCGAGTCGGTGCAGAAGAGAGCATTCTTCCCACTGAACGGCCCGTCGAAGTTCAGCATTAGCCATGAAAACAATGACTTATCCACTATCCACCTCAAGATCTACCACGACAAGACACCCAAGTCTAGATCGTTTGAAATCTTGTTGGAGACGCCAAACAGCAAAACTAACAGACGCGTGTCTTTCATCGCTGAAGCCGCCGTCGAGCCTAACAAGCGCGCCAAACTATCTTTCGATTCTCCCTTCAAGAAAGCCTCTGTCGAAGCGGTAATAAAAGAAGAACCTCAAGAACGCTCGCTTACAGTTACCGTGCACAATGATAATCAGGAGTACTACGGGCGCGTCGGTCTTTTGGCCAGCGGTGCCAAGTATAAGCCGATCTTGGAGTACAAGGTACCGGAGCATATCGAGAAGTTGGCAGGTACCAAATCCGGATCGAAGACGTCCCGCGGCGGTCAGCAATACGAGGTGCAAGGTACCGTAGAGGTGGTCGATCAGGATGGTGGCAAGAAATACGTATTCGACAATGTAGCCCTCGTCGCGAGTGGTCAGAAGCTCGTCGGTCTCGACGGTTACGTTCACTCCGCGGAAAACGCCGCCAACTTGGACATGAAGGTGAACTACGGCGAAGAATCCGTCGCTCTCAAGTTGGACGCGAAGAAAAAAGATGATAGTTACTTCTCGATCAGCGTCTCGGCGTTGCCATCGAAGGATCCCAATATCGGGTTCAATATCCAGTCCGAAATCCACAGGGAACCGTACGCGTATAAATACAATCTGGTCTTCGTTCACGGCCCGGATCAGAACTCCAAGATAAACCGTTTCACCCTCGAGCATGAGGCTATCGCCAAACCGAACCAGGACGGGCTGAACTTCATCGTGGGTGGCTCCACCAAGATCGCATATCCTGCCGTGAAGCTGAAATTGGAGCTCGAAGGTAAGATGAAACCTACAGAAGTAAAGGGCAAGATCGGGATCGTTTATGACAAATTCAAGTTCGGCTCGAAGCTGTCCGCCGAGCAGAACAAAGCCAAGGTAGGCGACTACGAGGTCGAATTCGAAGCCGAGCTTTTGCAGAACAGCATCAAATTAGAGTCCAAGCGTACGATTATCGATCCGCACAAGAGCAAATATAAGAACAAGCTCGAGCTTGTACCGGGAGGTAAATACGAGGCCGATGCACTGGTGACGTATAATCGGGACAAGAATAACAAGAACGTGAACTTTGAGATAGACAGTGACCTGAAGCTGGACGGCAAAAAGGCCAAAGTTTTCGGCAGTTTGAACGTCGAGCGTCCCAATAGTGTTCAGTCACAGGCGTACGTCATCGTCGGCGACGTCAAGTACGTTGACTTCCTATTGAAGGCCCAGCAACTGGACGCGAATCCTCAAGGCAGTCTGACTTTGAACGTGAAGAATTATTTGGATGTCGCAGGACAGTTATCGATGCAGAATGGCAAAGGCAAGGTACATCTCAACATTGACTTGCCGAAGATCAGCCGGAAGATCAAAGGAACCGGCGACTTGGCGATATCCGGCACACAGTACAACGGTGACTTTGAGCTTCTGCTCGACGCGGAGAAGGATCCGAACAAGCGCATCAAGCTATCCACTGCGAACGACATAAAGAAGAACGCCATCGATACGAAGAACGTGCTCGAGATAATGAGTCATAAATTCGAGCTGAACGGCAAGGGCAAGTTGGTTGGTACCACAAACGAAGGCGAGCTGACCGCCGAAGCGGACGTCACTCTGCCGAACGGTCGTCGTCTGGCTGGCAATTTCAAGCGTACGTCCAAGAAGGATAATAACAACAAATACATTATCGACATAGCCGGCGAGTTAGAAGACCAGGAATCTAAGGGCGGCAAAACGCGAAAGATCACAGCTAGTCAAAAACTCCGCGACGTCGATTTCAAAACCTACGCTTTCCAGGGCGATGCCCAATTGAAGGCCGTCAACTCCGATGGCAACAGCGCAGAAGTCGAGTTGAAAGCCAAGAATCTCCTCGACACCGACGGCCACAAAAAGGTGCAAGGGATCAGCCTGATTCTGTCGAGCTCGCGTTTGTCGCAACCGTTCAATCTGGAATTGGAATTTAACGAGCGCGATAATGGCGAACTGTCCTTCAACGGTGCCTCTTCCTACGGCAAGGACTTCCAGCTGAAGGTAAGCGTAATAACTACTATTTGATATCTCTCTTGTCGTAGACACGAGCGGCGAGTGTCTATAAAACTAGACGCGTATAAATATACGTTTTATCGTTCGCAGAGTTCCGAAAACTTCGTTCCCGGCAACGAGATTGACAAGCCCTGCACGATCAAAGGCAACGCGGAGCTGATACTGCCGTCGGAGAAATTGCGTAACGTCAAGCTCGACTACGCGTACGATTTGCTGATCCAATCCGAGACGGACGGTGTCTTCGATCTGAAGGGATCGACGGCGCTCACTTACAACGACGACAAATCCGTCAAGATCGAGGGCGCCTTCAAGAGCTCCGGAATTAGCGACGGCGAGCATCCCTACGAGAGCGATCTGCAACTCGATCTGGCCATTCTCAAGATCCCGCCTATCGCTTTCCGCGATCACGCCAAGTACGAACCCAGCGGCGACAAGGTGACGATTACCAGCAACTCGATCGTCAAATTCGACCAGAAGGAGATCACCCTCGCGCTCAACCCTCTCACGTTTAATCGCGATATGACGTACATCGACGTGAAGGCCAAGGCCACCACTCCGTACGAGAAGCTGAACAACATCGACCTTGAACTCAAGCACGAGGTACCGTTTTGTTGTTTCTTTTTTTTTACAATGCACAATGCCTCTTCATTATTCTTCGTATTTAGAAAAAAACTTCTCACCTAAGATCTAAACTGCGATCCCTCGCGTCTCGCTGATTACGATCCGGCTAACTGAATCATGTGCAAATATCTCGGGATTATTCCGGTCAGATATTACTCTCCCGGGATACCCCATGCTGCGTCATTTATAATAGTTTACCGCTGGTGACGTAAGCAGCGTGTGCTGTTTAAAGACGAAATAAAGTTTACGGTGACCCCGACGAGATTGCCGCGGGACGGCACTATCTATCTATCACGCGCATCTAATTTTTCCTCTATTTATCCTTTGAAGAGAGAACAGAGCGGACACGTAAGGAAAACCGACGCAGTCTTGCAGCTCAACGGTGCGAAGCACACCTTGCACAGTGAAATTCGAGGCGGCAACCTCTCTCCGATGGTATACATCACTGTTACTTGCCCAGACACCGAGGGACACGTGAAATTCAACAAGCTTGGCGACCAGGAATACAAAGGTAACTTTCATCGGATTCAAGCAAAACTGGTGCCATATTGCCTGTTTTAGAATCTTCCTTTGAAAAATATAAATATATAAATACGCTGTACATTTTTATTTAGAAAAAAAAACAGCCTAGACGTACTTCTAAATGATACACGAGCTTAACAAATTTCGTTTTCAGGCGAATGGAAGATCAAGACGCCGAAAGGCTTCGTCACTGCCGACGGACACGTCAAGCTGCAGAGCATCGACGATTTCATCATTAGTTATAATTGGGACAGCGACAAGCTCAAGCACCGTAAGATGCACGCCGAAATCACTAACAGTCCCACCGCCAAGACTGGCAGGCGAATAATCATCACCGTCACCAGCGACGGTAAAAACATCGTGACCGGAAGGTACGTTTCATCCCGTATGTAGAACGACGAAACGTGCCGATCAATTCGCGAAACAATGTGAACCTACGTCATATCTTAACGTTAATATAATGAGACCAATGATAATTCGGGACGAGAAAATAAAATTTCTACGAACGCGCGAAGACGAGGCCGGGACGTTCGGGGACGTTAGGAATTGTCTACAATTTGCTTTCTTGACAGTCTCGACTCCCATTAGCGATCCTCTGTCACTTCTGCTAAGGTCGATATTCTCGCAGTAATTCTAAACGATGTTTTCCGACGGCGATATGGATATACATCTCTCGCGCGTAACGTAAATGATCGATCGTTCTCTACGCGGCGACAAAACAAAGAATAAAAGATATCTTCGAGCAATTAACTGGGGAGGACGCGAGGTCGTTTTCAAAGGAGATCAGAGATACGCCAGAAGTCGTATCTCCGTTCGTCCCGCTATGTAATTTCATCGATTCACCCCGCTAAAATTAATTCAAGTGGCTTCCGAGAATACATTCCAACTGCCAGTCCTTTTTATTCGCGTCCCATCGAAATCGCCCTCGATCGAATCGTAAAACGTAAAAAGGGGTTACGCGGTTTAGTCGAAAATGTAGAGTATTATCGATCGTACGGTCGTTATAAAAAGCATGAAAAACAGTTATTCTCATCGGTTAGTAAAAATATCGATGTATCATTCGAATGAGAGGAACGATAAAAAAAAAAAAAACGGGGACGTCGCGCGCAATTCTGACCGACGTTTAGTTTTCTTAGGATAGAAGTACAAGTTTGTTCTGTATCCCGGAGATATATTGTCGCCTATAAACACAATTTCACGAAGAGAGTTCGAAAAATGTTGAAAGTTAAAATGAAATGTATATAAACGTAAAGGAACAACGCGCGATGCGCGAAAGAAAGGAAAACAAATGTATTTATGATAATATTTGGTGATTTGTTCGCAGCACGAACTACAAGAGGCGCGACGAGGCCGGCAAAATCACCGTCGAGGGAAGTGGCAATCTCAAGATAGGCGAGGACACGAGGAGCTCCTCCTTCAAGTACACCCGCCAGCAATTGACTCGCGAGAAGGACGGCGAATCCGGCGTGCTAATCGTCCTGAACGCCAAGTTCGATCCGGCGGCTATTGTGGGCGAGGTGAAGCTCTCGAACAAGGAGCTCCTCGTTTTCAATAGCTATTGCGAGCAGAGCAAGGATTGCGCTCATTTCAAGCTTCAATCGAGCTACGACACCGACAGTAAGTCAAATTTCGTGCCGGGTTGATTATTTCCCTCGGAAAAGAGGATTGCGATCATTATGAGAGAGAGAGAGAGGGGCAGCTTAAGTACATTGGCCCGTATTCTGAAACAGCATTTATCAAGCGAGATTTGGTTTAGATTGTTCGTAGCCAAATATTTCGTTCCTTCGATCTCCCCATTTATTTTTACAGACTCGCAATTTGCAATATTCCTCTTCTTTTCTCAAATTTTCATTTTCATCATTTCTCTTTTCTTAACGGTCTAATATTGGAAAATAGATAACCGTAGAAAATTTATGGTCGGTGAAATAAAGCAACAATATGTCGTTATTATATAATATAATAAGGCTATTATAATAATATATTATTATAACGCTTTACAATAACGCTGCTAAGCGAATATAAATAATTTGATATTAAAGTGTACGTGTGTGTGTGTATACGTGTGCGCTCTCATTTAATCTCGATGAAACGAAAATTACAACGCGAGTTCTGCAATATACCGTAATAAAAAGCCTTTCATAAATAAAGATCGGTATAGGTATATGGCGCTCCTGTGGAAAATACGTCGTATCTCGACGATACGCCGCCTCTCGCTTCGCGTGCCCGTGGGCCGGACCTTTATTAAGATACTCTCTTCGTCGCAACGTACCTGAATTCGTAAAAATGCAAAAGAGGGATACGAGGAGAGACCGTATATGATAATAATAAACCCCCGTCGCGCGCGGTCGCGCAAGAGGACACCGAACGGTATCGTTCCCCGGGCGGGCGTCTCCCAGGAAATCATCCCTTATCCGCAGCCCCCATTCGTACACGCGGATCCAACCTATTCCGGATAATTAGAGAAACTCCCGACAGTGGACCCCGTCCACTGATAACGCGTGGCCATACCGTATAATTGTCCTCGCCGCACCGTCTCCAGTTCTCTACCGTGTGTATGTTTCGCATGAGTGCGCAACACGTCGCAATATCCCTGTGTGTGCACGTACGCACGTGCACACGTTTGAAATTTCGCGCAGGGGAGGATACATGCCTGCCTTGTGCTACTACCCCTCTACCGCGCGGATCTCGGTCGATAGGCGATTCTATTCTCGCGTGATCTGCGCCTAATTCGTGCCTCGCCTCAGTTATTAATAGAGCTCTGGAATTGCATCCCTATACGTGACGACGTTGCGGCTGGTGGTGGTGGTGGTGGTGGTGGAGAACGGGTGCAAGCAACGGCGGCGTGCCGCCGCATTAACTCGAGCACACAATTCATTCTTTTTTTTTTCCCTTCTGTCCTCTCTCCCTCTCTCTCTTTTCTCTCTCTTTTTCCCGTCTTTTTTTCTCGCTCGATGAGATCGCGTCGTGAGGATCGCGATGCGAGAGGACAGGCGTGACCACACCACCGCGGGTGGCGACGGGGTGGTGGTGGCGGAGTTACACGGGGCGATACACAAGGAAAAAAAAAGGAAGAAGTTGCCCGCCGGTGCGGAATGACGTCACGCCGCAAGGGCGTGTGCTCCGCTGACGTACACGCGTCTTAATCCTTTCTAGCACCGCGATGACGTGTAGCGCGATAAAGTTTACTTCGTTTTATTTTTTTCCCCTCCACCCTCCCCCACACCTTTCCCTCCCTCGGGATCAATTTGGCGGCTGTGGCCTGTCAAGGGCCTCGGGAGTTAACGGAAATGAAATTTCCGCGATTAACATCGAGAGTAGCGCGGGGCTGCCTGAATGTAAAAAATGGGACAACGAATTTCCAATGAGAACATTAATACATTGTGATCCTTTTACGATTGTCCAACGGTAGCCTGTGAAATACGTACTCCTCGTCCTCTTACGATTTTATCACAATTGTCGATTTCAATTAATTTTATACGTGATAATAATTTCACAATTTGATATTCATTAGAAATTCTCATTTACCGTTAATCGCTTGATAGATGTCAAAAAAAGTAAAGTCGAGTAAAATGGATAGACGTACACAAAAAATATTGCATGATAAAAGTCGCGGGTGAAGGGATTACTTATTAAAAATGTATCTCTTCCGTCATTTTCTAGTTTCGACTTTTTTCTCAACACAATTTTTATAATTCGTGTTCCCGTGTTTGTTTCACAGACAAGAGCTATATGAATCACGATTTAACGGTGGAAGTAGACCTGAAGAAATTCAACGTGCCAGCTGAATTCGGATTGAAGACAAGCACCGAAGCCAAAGGGTCCAGTCTCGATCACTCTGCCAACTTGTACTTACACTCGTCGAAGGACAAGTCCCAGTATGCTTATAAACTCTACATTCACCCCAAGGAAAGCGGTAAGAAATCCTGCGCGCTTCTCTATTAGTAACTTTTGTTAATTAAGGAGATAAATAACGTCGCAATTGCGCGCGATACTCTTAAAATCGACCCTGCTGGGGGTGAAAAAATTAAGAATCGTCCCTTTCTTTTTTTACAGCTGCCATTCTGACTTTGCCCAGTCGCGAACTGGCCATTATTAGCACATTCGACTTGCCGAAGACGAAGCAAACCGGAGCGTTCAAGGTCGACGTCTCCGTTTACTTGGACAGGAAGAACAAACCGTCCGACAAGACTGCTCTAATCGCCAGCGGTGACGTTAATATCGAGAAGAACAGCGGATCTATCAGCGGAGAGGTCAAATTTGTATATCCATCTCAGCCAAAGGTATGACCATTTTATCGGATATATTTACATAGCGAGATTTCTAAATCTATACGTAAAAATCACACTGAATAACGTCCAAAACTTTTAAATTTACATGTAAAAATTACATCGAATGACATTTGATGTTAAACAAAAATTTAACTAAAAATGCATTTCCAATTTGCTTCCAATTTTTGCGCGAATAAGGTCAAAGCTTTTATAAAACTAGCGAGAGAGTGAGAGAGTGAGAGTGAGAGTGAGAGAGTGTGTGTGTGTGAAAGAGAGAGAGAGAGAGAGAGAGAGAGAGAGAGAGAGAGAGAGAGAGAGAACCCACCTCGGCAAAGCCTTTATTGTCGATTTTCTCGCAATCTAGCGAGAACGTCGAGTTTCATCGAGCCACTCGGCTATAAAAAGGGCAATGTAATACGTTCTCTGTCGATTTACCTCTGCATGTTCAGCTTGTTTTTTTATTTCGATCACATTCTCGCAATTTCAAGCCAATTGCCAATTAAATAGTTCGCTTGATTTGGTTTTCAAATCACATCGAATGTGATTCTGTTTGTCAGGATATGGCAGTGAAAGGTAAACTTCACTACGGCGGCGAACACCTGCTTGACGCGAACGTAGATATCGACGTCTTCGCCAAGAAAACGCAAAAGATCAACGTGGTGGCAAAACTAAACCGGCAAAATATCAACAAGGGTCACAACGTCTCCAGCGTGATCGAAGTGAGCAGTCGTGGACAACAACTCAAAGTCGACCTGAAATCGCACGTAGCGATTTCGGAATACGAACTTGGTTTTGGCAGTATACTGTCGTACACGGACGTGAATCAGAAGCCGAAGAGTTTGGGCGTTACGTTCTCTGCGGATCCCACGGAAATGTATCTTCTTGTAACTTCGCCTAATAAAGAACTTCTTCAACTCAACTCAAAACTAAAATTAAGCCAAAGCGTGCAGAAGTTCGACGCGGAAGTCGCGATTCTGGGCAACAAACCTATTGTAATTAACTTCGAAGGGCATGATTGGAATAGCTTCACTTATACGGAATACCAAGCAGGTAAAAAATTTATTTCGAATTAAACATTGTACTCAGAGGATATTATATATTTTTTTTTGTTTTAATGACGTATCTTTATATTATATATCTTTATATTATATAAGATATAATAATAATTAATTATCATTAATTATTATCTATTAATTTTTTAATAAAATGTATGTGTAATAATAAATTATCGCGAATTTATTATTATATTTGCTTTTAATATAAAATGTCAAAAGTCATTGATTATATTTTAAATCATATATAAGTTTACGCGAATCCGATGTTTTCCCTCAGATCCCAATGAGAAGTTCGTCGTGAACGGGCGCGTTGTGCTCGGACAACTGGCCGAAATTCATGCCGACGCTTTCAGGGATGGAGTGAAGAAGGATCTGTTCCACGCTTTGATCCACCTTGATGAAGAGAAGTTCCTCAAACCTGACTTCGGCTACAACAAGGACAACATTGTCTACGCGCTCGTAAGTACATTTTCGTGCGATGTGATAATTGTAGTATTGCTTTACTGACTTTATTGATATAATTTAGATTTAGCTTTATTAATATAACTTATTGATATAATTTAGGAACATTCTCGAGTGCGCGAGTCATTGAAACAGCTCAAGGACGTCTCCAATGATATAGTCAACGAAGCAGAAAAAGAATTGACAGATCTTGTAGAACATTTGAAGAAGGCCCAGCCGAACCTCAAACCACTCTTGGACTATTACGAAACCGAATTGAACAAACTGAAGAATGAGCTCAACGCTGACCAGACCATCAAAGACATACAAGCTACTTTGTAAGAATTTAATAACTATTTTTTCGATTTTACATCGTATTCGTACAATTTTATATAAATTTAGAAAAGGTAATAATAAAGACATTTGTAACAATCCTGCATATATAATAACTACACATTTATGATATATATATAACAACATATCAACATGTAAATATCCTTACAAGTTGAAATTTATATCAGTCGTGGATCCCGTTGAGTTGCCGCGCGCGTAATATCGATCGTATTCTTCCAGGAACAAGTACTTCGGAGCTATTATCACGGCCATCGCGGATACCATAAAGCAAGTAAACGCGCAATTAAACGAACTTCGGAAAGAATACGCTGAAGTACTCGCCAAGCTCGAAGACGTATGGAAGAAGGTTTATCCTCAGCTAAAAGAATCCTACAACAAGATAGCTAATGCGTACATAGATGTCGTCGATAGCATCGCCAATGTTTCGATGGCCTACCTCAAGGCACTGCTCACCTTGATTAATGAACATCAGAAGGAGCTGAAGGAATTAGCGACAGTGGCTGCGGAGCTCATTCAGGACGTTGCTAAGATCGTATTCAAAGCCGCCATTCAGATCAGGAAAGACGTTGAAGAATTCGTCCTCATGTTGAGAAATCAAATGCAAGCCTTACCAATCTTCGACATCGCAAAGGAGCAATTCCAGGATATCGTGAACTTCCAAATTCCGGAAGCCGTGTTGGCCTCCATTCACGAACTCAGCGAGGTCATAAAGGCCATGCTACCGACTGACGAACTTCGACAGCTCTTCAGCGCTACTTATGAATACATCATAAAGCACGTCAAACACGAGAAAGTAAGTTTCCCTACCCGTCTTACGTTGCATTTTGCCATTTCAGATAGTACGCTTCGAACGGTACCGAAATTACTAAAATAGCAAAGGTCTTGAAATAATAAAATGCTATCGTCCCGCGCAGGTCGATAATACCAATGAGATCAAGAAGATCTATGATCATGCGGTCGATGCCATTGTGTCCCTCATCAAGCTTCTGGAATCTAGCGGCGCCTTGGACAACATGTTAGATAGCTTGTTTGAAGCTCATCTTCCCGTGGAGCTTGAAATGTTAGCGAAATTGCCAACGATCACCTCAATCAAAGTATCTCTCGTCAATCTGATACGTAATAACGAATTACCATCGGCCGCGGATCTCTACTACACCTACAGGTATTTTCTCTTCTACTTTATCTACTTTAACTTTCGTTTTATTACGTATTATTTTCCTGTGAACTGCGAGATTTCACGTTTATCAAAATTAAAAAATAAACGTTACACCTTTCGCTGCAAGAATGCTAATCAATGTTAATAATTTTTTTTACTTTAAACAGACCAACTCTGTTGCTTTCCGACATCATACCTCCCTTCAGCAAATTCGGCGTCGTCGTCGACGGAGGACATATCTTCACCTTCGACGGCAATCATCTCAGTATGCCCGGCGATTGCACCTATATCTTGGCCCAGGACATGCAGGACGGCAATTTCTCCGTCGTCGCAAACTTCAACAAAGGGAATCTCGTTGGCGTAACCGTTACGGAGCCTAAAGAGAGCATCACACTGAAGAACAATGGCAACGTAAGTTTATTTCTCTTATCTCTTAACCAATTTCCTATAGCGGCGGCAAGTTACGTCGGTGGATATGTGACATGAATTGAGAACGGGGTAAATGAGTTGGAGAAAGGGAAACGTGAAAGGGAGAAAGGGAGATAGGGTGGGTAGGGGGTGAAACCACTAGACCACTCTCATACGGTATTCCGTGTACGAGTCTTATAATGCAATCCCGTATTGAACTGTAACTCTGTAAGTTTGCTGGGGGGCTCCAAACTTCGCTGACAAGTCAAACCCTATTATCCTCGCGTTGCTTCCCTTATAGACGGACCGAGCGAGGAAGGAATAAAAATCGCCCCGTTGTTCGTCTTGCGCGCGGGCTCCGTTGCCGATCTCTCACAAAGCCCGCGCTTCTCGCAATT